TCCTCTCTCTCTGTCTCTCTCTCTCTCTCTCTATCGACTTTCTCTTACTTTCTCTCTCTCTTGAGGGATGTTAAACTTTTATGAAAATAAAATCAAAACTGAAATGTTGGTCCTCCTCCTCCTGCAGCCAGTGCGGCTGTTGTGCCCAACATCACGGCAAGTGCCGGGCAAACGTCCACTGTCTCCATCAGCTGAACCCAGCCCGGGACCTTCCAAGAGTGCCAAGGTAAAGACTACCTGAAGGTTCAGCATAATGTTATTTGAGTCAGAGTATAGTGGCTTATAGTATTCAAATGACAATTGTTATAAATGCTATGTTTGATACCCAATAGACTTGTCTGCATAATTAAACTGTCGAGTATCAAGAAAACAAAAAATGCCGTATTATAAAATGTCTCTAAATGGAGATGAACTGGACGTTTGTATCTATTTTTGACAACTTTTATTGGCACTTTTTGAGGACATATTTCTTCTACCGCTATCCATCTTTGCTGTTTTTATTTTTGGTCGGCAGATACTAGGCTCCTGTATAATTACTGCATGTATGTATAAAGACATGATTTACTTTCTACATGTGTGTCTTTGCATTTTGCAGCAAGGCTCTAGTTCTAAGTATCATCATAATCAAATTTGTTTGAGAACTGGTTTTCTTCTTTATCTCTTTACCTTTTGCTGTTTTTTAATAGTTTTTTAGAAACTATGTAAATCCCCTCTATATTTTGATTGTATATTTGGATAGATGATGGGTACTGTGTGTCGGTCACTTCCATCTACTTTGCTCCGTGGTTCTATTATCCTTATCTGTTTCAAGTGAAAAGTGGTCACTATCATGCTCACTTGTCATATACCACTGCTCAGCCACAGCCACAACTGTTATGTCTGTCTTCTTGTTTCCACCTTTGCTCATGCCTCAGATCTGTCCTCAGCTGCATATCCTACCACCAAATCAAATGACGCTACATGATGTTGTAGGGAGCAGTGGAGATGGAGGAGGAACGAGTCCAGTCACTCCTTTTACTCACTACTGCAAAGAACAGAGGATGCTTAGTGAGTTTTTTTGTTGTTGTTGGTTGTTTTTGTATCACAAGTGAATTAGTGGCAGATAAAGTTCCTATTTTTATCTCTTTTACCATGCAATTTAAAATCTCGTTTCCACGTAATTCTGTCATGTTTGTGGAAATGTGACCAGACCTATTACATTTTTTAAACCGCTTGTTTCGTGTCAAACTGATCAATAAAGCATTACCCAGACATAGAATTCATTTATCTTTGACTTCCGGGTCAAACTAAAGGCTTGTTGGCTCGTACTTTTTTATATTCCGCCCGTACCATAATACAATAATAACTTGGCATCGGACAGTGGTACCGTCCAGCCATGGTTATGGACCTCGACTACAGGAAGCTGCCACCATCCAGACATGGTTAAAGAGTTATATCCAGACATTTTTGTACATTTTTTGTACCCTTTCTTTCTTTAATTTCTGTTTGGTTTTGTTTTTTCACAATTAAATGTAAAGTTATTTTTGTAATATGTTGAGGTTTTTTTCATACGTTAACTCCAGCTGATTTGAGTAAAAGAGTGGAGAGTTGTGGTAATATGCTATCAAAATACAACATTTTCTTTTCATGAAAAGCTATAAATACATCTGTGAGACAACTAGCGATTTGGAGATGGGCTTGGTTAGATTACTTTTCTGTGTTCATGTCATATTGTTTTGTTTCTTAGTTTTGAAAATTTGAAACCCTATGACAGAATCTAAGCATCTTATATTGCCACCAAAGTGAGCACAATTTGAGACCAAACGTCAATTTATCACATACACCAGAAATTTTAACTGAGGAATGTCCGTGGTGTCGCACACAAGTCGATAAAAAACAGCAAATTTGGCTATAATTCACCGAGGATTTCCGTGCTGCACGTGGTGGTTTGACCCTTTAGGAAACTTTGCAGTACACATTCTTATCCCATTAACATTTTCAGAGCAAAAAGTTTTGAAATATTCTTGGCTGTCTTTTTTTCTGATTTTTATAAAACCAGAGCTGTCTGTCAAAGTGGTCCTTAACTTATGTTGAAGTCTGCGTATATATATACATGGATTGTACGAGCATTGTGTAAGGTAGGAAAAGTCTCTTGTCACTTCCTCTTTACCTGCAGACACTCACACAACATGTATTCCCCTTTCTTTTGGTCTCAGTTTATCATTACTCGAATGTATGTTGTTTTATTTTGTTTGGTGGTGTTATTTTTGGCTTCATGCTACTAACTCCAACTTTTCATATATTAACCCCCCCCCAAATTATATCAATAGAAATGTGGTTCAATGTAGAAAGTACATTCAGAAATTCATGAGAAAATATTAATAACTAAAAAAGTTATGGGAGGTAGAGTGGGGTCACCCCTTAGCAGCCTTGGTTCATGGGATTTCCCCGGCACAGGGGCCTCTGCAGCATTGAAGGGGTTAAAGGAAGATTTGAGCGTTTTACTTCTTATGAAATAAAACAGAACAAAACATAAGGTCAAATAAAAATGGTTGGTTACCATTTATGGCCTTTGCTATCTCTCTGTGTTCAAGTTCTATGACTGCAATGATGTTTTCCCAGAGTTCGACCTTTTCTCAAGTCAAAGTGAAGAGGAAGTTACTCAGACACTGAAGGCAGCATGGATGAAGCTCAGCAATGACGACAGGGTGAAGTACAGGGATGATCACTGGCAAGACGTTCAAAGGTAAAAAATTGCCATAATTTGCCAGCTTTTTTTCTTTTAGGAAAGCTTGTGTTTTGCCACCACTGTTATTTCCATTGTTAGGAGAAATAGGCATCATAGCTATGAGAGTAGGTAGTGGTCTTAGTTGTAATGTGAATGAATTCATGACTTGATTTGTCATAAATAGTATTAAATACCAAATAAGAATTGGCGATTTGTTCATTGCCCATAAATTTTGTGTGATTTGTTTAATCCCTTCGTTGCTAGGGGACATGTGTTCCTGCTGTTAGCACTGATCTTAAGTTAAGCACGTAAGCCAGGACAACAATTTCATGTCTCAGCGTTAGTGGACTCGCTGTATAGATCCAGCCCATTTGTGACATATTTTGGACCCAGTGTGTTTCATAGCATTGTTTTCTTCAGTTCGTATATTCCCAATCTTACCCATAATTTTTTTAAAATTGTATGTCAAAAGGTGATAATTTTTTGCCTTTTTAAAGTCATTTTGGTATTTATGTTTTTCGAGAGCAAGTGTTCATCCGCAAGAGTAGATACATATTTATTGATCACTTGCAAGCCCAGCAGGAAACTCACTAGCAAATATGGTACTTTTAAGCACTTTTTTTATATTACTGAATGCGAATCCAAGCTGCATATCTGACTAAAACTCCGTACAGAAGACTTAAGAGCCAGATGATTAGCATGAAGGACATGTTATGTCTTTTAGACAACCAGGCAAATTTTGCCAACTTCTGTTACTTTCAGGGTACAGCGCAAAGCTAAAAATACATAATTCTGTGACATGCTGGTAACGTCATACGGCAGCAAAGGGGTTAAACTTGCTTGTGGTGGATCTAAAATTAAGACTAGAGGCTTGTCTTTTAAAAAAGATTTCAAGCTGTCTTGATAAAGGGAAGGAGTACGACAAATTATGGAATATTATAGAAATATGAGATTTGGTCTTTGGTGTCAAACATGCTTGCTCATTTCTTGTTGTATTTTCTCTCTTTGTGTAGGCGCAGGAAAGAAATGGAAGCGAAATCTAAACAGACCAGCAACTCAAAGAAAGCCCAAGTGAGAGGTTTATTTTCGATGTGCACAATGCAAAAGTAGTACTCTCTCAGGCATGCAATCCAGTCTGTAAAGTTAAATTATTTTCTTTGGTACTCATCCGTGTTCAATTGCTGTGAAGTCAGAGAAATTGCAGTATGTATTTGGTTTGAAAAGGATTTACAGGGTCCCCACCAGGTCGGGAAATCAGGAAAAAGTCAGGAATTTTGTAATGGGTCGGGAAGTCGGGAAAGGATAGGGCCTGTGTAATATTAGTAGTGTAGCTATCTAGACAGTATGGTTGATGAATCATGAAGAGGAAACATAATTGAACCGCTATGGCGGCAGGCGGAAGTGTATGTGTGACACCGAGGCTTGATCGGGAAGAATCAAAAACTACTTTCGCTTTCGTTACCGCCCAAAAATTTGTCGGCGATAGTCTGATAACGCGACATTTGTAACAGTAACATGCAGGTTGTGCATTACAAATGCTGTATTGCCATGAAAATAAATCAATAACTGTCCTGTGCTGTCACTTGTAATAAAAAAAGATAAGAAAGTTATACAAGCGTCCTGTCAGGCTCGCCATTGTGATCGGTCAGTGAACCTGCGCGTTCGCATCACATGATAAGGCATCATGTGAGTACTGGAGGCTGTTGGGGTCACCAACGTTCATTCAAAATCTGAGCGCTGTGAAGCATATGGCTCTGGAACAAGGAGGAGATTATTGATTTTTTGTTGTTGTAAGATGCACTGGGGGGGAAGGGGATTAGGTGGGGGGTGTGAAAGCAACACTAGAGGACAAAAACTGAACCTGGAAGCAAATTTTTAGTATTTAGAATTTTGATAACTACTATAAGTGTTCTCTGCAAAGCGCGCGTTGCTGCAGGCCTTGTGTGGAATTGCGATCCATCATTCCTTGTTAATGAACTTAAGTGCTCGCGTTTCATTGGTTGGGGTGACAGTAAATTATATTTTTATTTTAGCTTTCTGTTCAAGATTCGCAGATTTTCAGTGTCACTGCATCTTGCCCTCCCTCGGTTGTTACACCTCTCACATTGAATAGGTCTACTTGAGCCGTTCAAGTTATTACTCTACTTTTAGCTTGAGGAATAATTTTTGTCTTTTTCGAGTTTATTATGAATCATGATACCCAGACTGGTTCTTGAAGTCGATATTTTGGTTCTAGGCCTTTTCTCAGGTTCAAAACAAGATTCATTTTTAAAATATAGTTTATGTAGGCGAATATGATGAGGGGAAAATATAAATAAGTAAAAACAGACTGAAATACCTAAGTCGCACAAGATCCCAGTGCCACACTGACATGTTGTTGACTGGATATAATGTACCTACATGTGCGCGTGTGTGTGTGTGTGTGTATATATATATATTCACACATATATACATATATATATATATTATATATAGAGCTCGTGCTGTCCTTGTTATGTAGCTTACCCTGGAAAATTGAGAAGCTGGGTTGATAGTCACCCTGCTTTGCTTGAAGACTACTACAAAATGTACATTCATTTAAAGACATTTTGACTCTTTGTCATTGATAGATGGGCTTTTTGGGGATCATTCTTGACGCACAGCAGCCTTATTTTTCCCTTGAAATGGGGCCTTGAAAAAAATTTCAAGGATTTGGTGGGGACCCAGGATTTATTGAGTTTTATCGAGCTCTGATAGTTGATTATACATTCCCTGATATCTAAAGGTTAAAGTGAGTTTTTAGAAGTATTATTAACCCTTAAAGCCTTGCCCCCACCCTCACCCCCACCCTCAAAGCCTACCTGACAAGAGGCCCCTGAACTCCTGGGTATTGCTAGCTATATTAACACTATATATATATAATATATGTCAAGACTTGTATTCAATGCACAGAAAGTTAAAGGTAGTCAAGCTGAGAAATGCACTCTGGCCAACTGAGACATTAGCCAGTATTGTTCTGTTTCGTTTCTACGATAATTCTGATGAAAAATTTCATTGAATAATTGTCTCACTTTATTCACATTTTCATTAGGCTTAGTATTATTTATTATCTAAAATTAAAATAGGCATGACATGGTCCAATTCTGAGATATTTGAAAATAATTTGCCGCATGCAGGAGGTGAATGGTTTTTCCATTTTGCTATTTCTGATTTCCACAGGCCACAAGATGTATGTTTTAACATGAAGTTTTTCTTTGTGTTTTTGGGTCAAGAAAGAGTTAATCTTTTAAGGTGTTTGGGATTTTTCTGTACAGGTGAATGTGAGGGATGAAGTTGCTGACCTTGCATCCCAGAGTCAAGCCAAAAAAACGAAAAAGGTTTTGAAAAACAGACTTTATAATGCAGAAAAACTGATCAGTTTCTCACTGAAGCAAGTGAAAGACATCACAGAGTCCCATAATCAGGAAGGAGACAGGTATGTCAAATGCTGTATGGTGGTGTACTGCTCTTTTTGAAAGAATGACGATAGAAAGTTTAAAAAGTTAAGCCTTCCTATATGTTCTTTTTATTCTATTATCAAGTCACTCCTTTTTCTCAGTTCTGCAAATAACAACTGTTGTCAGGTGAGCTGAGGAAAAAAGAATATGCTGTAATTTTTTTCAAGTTTAGTTTAGTTTTAGTAAGGTTTTTACGGTGCTCGCAACTGCATAAGGTCATATGAGCGCCAAGGTATGGATGTCAACAGAGAAGTCTAAACAAGGAATCAGGCTTACTCTGCTCACCTCTGCACAAAGCCTGCTTCCACTATCAAAGCACAACGGAAATAACAGTTCACAAGAGAGTAACAAACATACCGAAGAAGTAGAGGAAAATGACAACAGTAAGGATGAGGAAAGAAAAAGCAGCAGTTCCCCATATGTCGTTCCGGCACAGTATGAGCATGACATTGATAAATCAGCCCATTTACAATTCTACTGTGCATAAGAACATGTTTTTATCCCTCCTGTGGGAATGGCCTAAAGACACTTCAGTCAGTAGCACTGCCCTGGTGGGGGGGGGGGCAATTTTTTCAAGGAAACAAAACCTACACATGGAGACAAATGATAAAAACCCATAGCCATTTGATTGAAAGTCCTCCTATGTTTTCATAGAACCTAGGCCCCCCCCCCCCCCCTTTAAGTTTGGGATATGATAATTGATTCAGAGTAAATGCAGGCATGACATGTCTTCTGATGGTTGTGAAATTCTGTCACAGTCCCAAAGATATCAGGTCAACACCTGCTGGGAGAATGGGAGAGAGTCTATCTCAGCCTGTCTTATCTTTTCTAATGGAATGCAAAACCCTCTAGTGCTGAGTAATGCAGTAATTTGAAAGGTTACCCCGAGGAGCATGAGAATGGAACATTAACCATGTTCCTTTAGTCAGGTTTTGTCTCTTTGACCATAGTTTGGTGTATTTTCTTTTTATTTAAAAAAGAGATTTTCAGACCTATCAGAAGAATGGATTTCCTTTATTATTATCCTCAGTAAAATGGGAGATTCTGGTATCAGTAAACTTTCTCCTCAGTACCATTACTCATTACATTTTCAAATGTTCCAGAACGTATGTAGATATAAAAACTTTCTGTAATTGAAATTGACACTCTCATAATAAATTTTCAACTTCGATTTTGTCTGATTTTGATCCAAAACTTTTTTCAATACTTTTTAAAATGATGAAATGTCACTTTTGCACACACTGAAGCACATTCTCAAGCATACACAGACTTGTGTACATACATATTGATAAAATTAAGTTTTATTCACTTGTCATGGTCTCTGACAGAAATGTTTACCAATGTGACCAGAACGTTTTGTTTTCTGTTTAGGGCCAATTTTCCTGATCCTCGGGTCATTGGTTCTCTTCAAACATGTGATGTCTGGGCAGTGGTTCTGTCCAGTCAGCTGAGTTTGGTTAATGCCCAGCGTCTGTCTGAGATGCTGCTTTACAAGAAACTGACCAATGAGCATAAGCTGCAGGCAACACCCTGCACTGTGCCAGTCTCTTTGGATGCCAGGTATTTAGAAGTTTAGACACTGTCTTAGCTTTAAAAATTCATGTACATAGGTCATAGTAAGTTAGCTTTAGTCTCTACTGATTGCCCAGAATTGTAGAAAATATTGTCTCACATATAGAACTGTGTTTTGTGTAGAACTTTAGTTAATAATTTAGGTGGAAGGTGTTGTGGCAACTTTCATTTATTGTTAATCTTATTTATGTTAAAGAACTGGAGAATAGCCCTGTGAATAAATTTATTCCGTTGAAACTTTTGATAAATTGCAGCAACTTATTGACGTAAATAGATTTTAGTTCTGTTGTCTCATGCAGATATGTTAACAAGTTCATATCTGTTGGCCTAAAGATTGAAAATACTTGTCAGATCATTACCACTCCCATTGTCTACTCTGTTCTGAGGTACCAGCATATTACCCAGCTCTTTGTCGACTTAACTCCCCTTTCATTTCATCATTATGCTTATTCTGTCCTTTAAACAGAAATGTCGGAGAGGATCTTTGGCCTACCCTAGAAGAATTGGCACAGAAAAACCATGCTGGTGAAAACATTTTCCATATAACTGATGAGAGAGTCACAGCCAATGGCTTTGATGTGAAATGTTGCACAGGTGAAAACTGCCAAAATTTTACCAAAAGCTTTTTATTTTGCTGCTTTGAAATGACCTGGACATTTCATTTACTTGTATGAGGTGTGAAACTGTATGCTTCTTCTGAGGACATGAATGAGTTAAATTAGCATCATTCTTTGTGATGCTACTGCTCACTCTTTATTTAAAATATCTTTGTAGAGTACATGAGCCATACTGCGGCCGGTATACATCCGCGGCCATAAGGTGTTTCTCCGAATTAAATGAGTCAAGTTAAATAACTCTTCAGTCAAGAGTTAGTAAAACTTTCAAACAGTGACTTCCCTTTGGTTTGACTTCTTTTTCTTGTTTCGTCAGCGGGAATCGGAGGGTCAAACATCATGCACTCTGGCGATATCAATTTTATATTATAAGTTAAGTTCACCCTTTGGTCTTTTTTTGTCAACTAGAGAAAAATACCTTACTGCCTGTAACATAAAACGCATCTAGATTAAACCTGCATTGTTTGTAATTCCCTAAATCGTTGCAAGATAGCATGTGGGTGGAACTACGGAGGTGGCCGCTGTAAGAAATACTGAATCTTATATTATTTATGTCCGCAACCGCGGTCTCTGTCTGTCTGTCTGGGCACTTCTGTACAATTGCAGTCCAGTTTGTTTACACGACGCCCATTGTGGGAGTGAATCTTGATCTAGATCAAGATATATCGAGATCTCTAGATTCTAGATAGCCAAGATAATGTATCTCTAGATGTAGATCTAGATTAGATATAATTTTAATTCAGTTAAGATCTAAATAAGAAACATGTAAAAATTACTACAGGGACACTTAGGCCTAGAATCTAATGTGATTTAGTGCAAACAGGACTGTAATTGTGCAGGAGTGCCTCTGTCTGTCTGTCTGTCTGTCTCTCTGTTAGTCTCTTTTTGTCCGTCTGTCTGTGTGTCTGTCTGTTCCCTCCCCCGCCTCTCTCTCTGTTTCTCTCTCTCGGACAGCAATAGATCCATATTCCTTTCACTGCATTAACAAAACAGGAACTCAAACACTTGCTGTTGGGATTCAGATGCACTTTATTTCACTCCAAAGCAAATGATAGTCTATTAATGAATAATTTCACTATAAAAAAAGAAGGGATGGCCACGCCTGCAAACACGAATGGCCACGGTCAGAAAGAACAGGCCGTGGTTGGTGTATACACTCGTTGCAGACAGAAGATGGGGCCACGCTAACATGTTATTTTGTGACACACTGTAAGTCTCATAATGGGGCACGAATGTACCTTAGCCACACTATTTTGTGCAAGTCCGCGCTTGAGCCTAATGCGTCTCGCCTCGGCCAGTCGGAAGCGTTGTATCGTCAATACTACCAACTTTATAGAGTGTTTTATTGTAAGTGGGAGCACCTAGTGTTGTTGTTGTTGTTGTTGTTATCGATCCAGCAACATCTGGGCTCTCGCCCTTCTGTCCAATGCCATGTAGTGATAAGTGCAGGTTTGCTGCAGTTGCTGTAATGTTCCGTAGAGTGTGTTGTCGAAGTTAGGTCTCGGAGGGAGAAGGGTAGCTCTGATGTCATTTAGGGCTGTACAGTGGAAAAGGTGATGTTCCACTGTCTCATATGCATAGTCACACAAAGGACACATTGGGGGAAGTTCTGGTTTTATTCTGTTCAAGTGAAAGTTGAGCTGTATATGTTCTGTTCGTAGGCGGAAGAACGTGGTAGAGCACCTAGTGTAAGTAGGCCTACTCCAAGTGCTCCATGTTTAGATAGACGTTTATAAGGTACGTAAGCCATCTCAGTGTTGTTTGCATTGTTCTCATTTTTTATGCGATCCTTGATGCATTTGTATTTTTGGGGGAGAAAGGGGGGGGGGGATGCAATAGAGTGTTTGCTGATGTTGTGTTAGAAAATTCAATGCTATTAGTCATGTTGAGTTGTTCCCAATGAATTCTGTCACTGTACTGGCCTTTGTAGTGTCATGGTTAGGCTCTTCGTCATGGCACTCAAAAGACGTGAGTTCAGCTCTCACATCGTTACGTCTATGAGGACCCTCACATTCATACATTTGCAATCCTTTATAAACCTGTGATTGGTGAATCCATTTATTTTTTCAACTCAACTCTCCTCTGGGAAGCATACAACCTTGGAGCTTGCCATGTTCTCATGATGGTCCTGTATTTTTTCTGTTTTTTTCTGATTGTAGATGGGTGAACTGGGGATTCCCTTGGCGTGGACTGTGATGTATAGTCAGAATTGTCAAAGACAGCCCCCCTTTTGTCAAGGAGAAAGTGGTTGTCCCAGACAGGTGGACATCTTGGGCAGTGTCATTATAACCAAGTTAAATATGCAAAGGGGGAAGTGAGAAGTGGTCACTTGTAAAGGTGATTGTCTTGGACAAGTGGCTGTTAAAACGGGTGTGACTGTATATTATGTATCATCGCCATTGTGATAAGATCAAACATTTTTTATTTTGCCTTTTTTCGCGAAACATATTCTTCAAAGCATGTTCCACATGATAGTAAAAAATTCATATTCAAATTTTTTTTAAAATTGACATTTTTAATACTACGAAAATTGGATAGCTCAAAACTTTCCTTTTAATAAATCAGTTTTTCCTTCTCCTAAAAAAATTTACCCAATGTCACTTATCGGATCTTATCATGACAGCACCGATATACTTGTGTGTGTGTATATAAATACATAAATGTATAATGCCATATTTAAATTAATATGTATGTACAATCTTAAATATAATATGTATTGTTAAGGTTGTATTATTTTCCAAAAAAATTATACTCATACTGTATGTTTCTTGCAGATGCCAATGGTAAATTAGAAGCAGAGCTTGCAGGTGTATGTGACCTCATTCCTACCTACAACATCAGCGATTTCTCAGAAGTTCTCAGGAACATTTCAAAGCAGCCCTCTGCTCCACTAGGCCAGATGAGGCCTCTGAAAGTTCAATACTACCTGCAGGTTAGTGGTTTTTGTGTTTGACATAATATACCTTTACTGAGAAGCATTCCTTGCAAAGAAAGAGGACGTATTGGCCTTTTCCAACCTCAGTACTACTTCCATTTTAAGGAATTGTTCAGGTATGTTGTTTTGTAGAGTCGGTTATTCTAAAGTAGGTGGAATATTGCCTTTACACATATGCTTAATTTTATTTTGCAACCACAAATTTAGTCAGTTTATTTGGTTCTAGCAATGGAAACTTTTAGATATAGAAGAGAAAAGAATTGTTGTTTCAGTTTGTGAATTGAACCCCTTTGCTCTCTGAGTTACAAGGTTGATTGAGCCCATTGTACGTTTTCAGTACCCATCATCATTTATTCACACATGGGGTTGTAGGGAAAAAGAGGGAGAGAGACAGTAACTAAGGTGTTCTTGGCACTGGCATCATTGTTAGCATGTGAGAGTGGCAGCCCAAGTTTTTAGATGAAGTGGAAAGGTCAGCCCATTCCAAATCTCTTTCCTACAGTATGCACCAAGAGAAGAAAAAGAGGAGGGAAGATGGAGCGGTCTGGAAAGGGATTTCTTTGACTCCACTGCACTTATCCATTGACTAGATTTCTCATTCATAATTGTTTCTTCTGCAGGGAGAAGCAGTACGAATGGTGCTACAGCTCAAAGCCAGCATGTCAGCCACAGACCTGGAGAATAGTCTCTGTGACCTGAATCCGTGTGCGGCAGATGTCCAGTGTATTCACCATAGACCTGTTTTTCACTCGCTGTTTGATTTGTCAACTTTGTAACAAAGTTGGAATATTCAGCATTCATGGAGCAAGGACTTCTTGGATGTGTGTCATCCATCCTGAAGTGCTGATCATCTAAAACTTTCAGTCTCCTGATATGGTCAGCCTATAATTCAACATGCTATTGATTTTTTAGGACTCTGGTTTTAGCCCATTGGTCCAATACCTTGAAGTGGTATTTGTAAAATCTCTTTGTTGTTATCCCATAGAGTTTATTGTCATTGTCTGATCCCAGGAGAGAACAGTAACTTGCAATCTTTCTGGAAAGCCTCTAGATCAAGCATTTGCTAGCTTGTCCAAGTCAAGGGTCGGATTAAGCAGTTCCAAATATCTCTTGGGCCAATGCTGGAGAAAATTGGTTGAAATATTCAAGCTCTCAAAAGTGAGACTAGTACTGACAGTACAATATGTTAGCTCACTCGAGAAAGTTTCGTGAAATGAAATAAAATATTAGATCTATTGCTTCCAGCTGGCCCAGAAACTAGTACTATTAATTTCCAGACAGAAATTAATTTTTATTTATTATAAACTCACCAAAAGCCATATTCAATATTGATTTAATTAGCGAGTCAAATCACGGGCTGGATCTGGCCTGCGGGCCAGTTTATACCCATGCCTGCTTTAGATGGTACCCCAAAACAAATGCTAGATGTGATTTAAGACAAAGAACCTGGAGGAAGCAGCTGTCCTCAGCTATTACTTTCCACTTTACTGCCTGTGACCCCCAGTGCTTAGATTTTTCAGATTTTACAGTCTCACCATCAGTTACTTCAGTATATTTACAGTTTACGGGCAGTGAATATTTCCTTTCCACTTAGTTACACAGACCCCCCCCCCCCCCCTCTTCTTTGTTCCGTCACCAAGAGCTATAAATGTCTAAACAGCTCCCAGTTTGAATTATATGCAAGGGCCCAAATCAGAATGCTCCCAGAATGTGTATATCTTCTCTCAATGATGTCATTCATGTGAAATGAGTAAATAATGTGTTTTTTTCCTTCTGGAATCAAGGCCTTGCTCCATGCTCTAAAAAAGTGAAGGCAGTACAATTTTTGTTGCAACTGGACAACCTATATTATATCAGCTCCCAGGGACCTGCTATGCAGTGTAACTATTTCTACCATTTTTCATGAAGCATCTCATTTACATCTCTATCTCTGTCAAATTATATTCTCACAGGTGGCCGACAGAGACTTTAGCATAATCTGATCCTTCCAATGCCTTTCACTGATGTCATTATCCTAATTGGTGCCTGTTAGATTGTTACCCCAAAACAAATGCTCGATGTGATTTCAGACACTGTACACTACAAGTCAAGTTTTCTCAAATAGTCCAAGAATGTCGCGTGAGCATCTTACAGGTCTTATTGTAGACATAACCAGTCCTACAAGAAGTCTTAGACAACGAGTCATTAGTAAATTATAGGTGCATCCAGCTTTTGTAGTTTCAGGTCTTCTTTTGAGACATATATAATTATATGTATGGATAATTGAATAAAATAATGAATTCATTGACGTTGTATGCATCATTCAAGATGACACATGTGCTCTCTTTTTTAAACAACTTTATTTTGGAGAAAATTTCTTTTTTCAATTCATTACAATTACAATGCTAATACAATTTACAAAAACAATAAAGATGACTGTGAACGTAATTTGCTTTCTTCTCTTTGCACAACACTGTTTTTCTGAAATGGAAAAGGCATGACAGTCGGGTTGAAAGATTGATTTGTTAGAAAATGGACAGTGAGAACACAATGGACTGCAAGCAAGATAATAACTGTTCAAACCTATGTCTAAGGAATGAAAACATGTTGAAATCAGTCAGTATGAAGCTAAGTCAATGATAATGAAACTGAGAATACGCCAAAGAGATAGTTTGGGGTCAGTGTTAACCAGGAGGCATCATCCTGTCAAATGAAGTTATATTTATTCTATTCCTCCACAAAGGAATGTTCTAACTTCAAAAATTTCAATATCAGTCTCAGGTATAAAAACTTGGGTTTTTTTAACATTATTTCAGAGACTTGAGTCCTCATTTTGACTGGTTTCTTTATGAACATTTCCAACTATTTGATGTTTATATTGAAATAGTACATTAAAGAACAGGAGGTGGGAAATACAGGTTCAGTTTAGAGGAAAAAATCTTAGTGCGGGTCTTAAAATCACAGCAGAAGGCAAAAACACGGTACACTGCCAACTGATTAGTTGAGACGTCCCAAAACGTTATATTATTGAACCAAATGTAGCACAAGCTGAAGTACATAGAGCCCATGTGACCAATGAGCCTTTTTACAAAGCAAAACAACATATCCTTGGTAAAGCACAATTTGATACAATCGCCTTCTTTATCACGTTGTTGGGCCAGGGACCGACATACCATGGTATCATACCATTAAAGAACTTCAAGACTTCAAAGTTACGAAATTACCCCAGTTTGTAGATTAAATTGTTAGTTTTACTCATAGTAATAAAGCGCACATTATCTAATGGCAATGGAACATAGTAAAAAAAAAATATGGTGAATTTCAACATCAAAATCTCACCATTTTCCCATTTTCTTCCCAATTGTGTCAGGGGATATAAAGAAAAAAAAGTATTCAAAAGTTATTTTATTTGAGAGTTTTTTTTAGCACACCATTGGTATTACAAAAAAGCACTCACAACCAACCCAACAATACAATTATCGCCTCAGATTTAGATCTAAGTTCTGTATCTGACTGCTTTATTTAGATAGGTCGAGGTACCTTTCATGACTCTATAATCAGTGACATCATTTGAAGCATTTAAGAGAAAGCGAATAAAAGAGCCAGTCTACCAGATAAAACAATAGGGGCGCTGACAACACCAAACCAAAATAAAATACAAATTTGTCGGGACTTTTTAAAAAGTAGTTGAATCTAGTAACACACAATATTATTGCCAGATATGACAGTGGTCAAGGAATAAATGAAGCCTAATAAATATTTTAAGGAATTTGAAAAGATTGCAACATGCTATGAAAAGATAAGGCAGAAACCCAAGTGTTTTTTTGAGTATGCAAAGAATTTTATTTGTCCTCAGATATGCACAGTTTTGTAAATATTCAGAGTGTGCTTTGGGACCAGGGGATAATTATGTAGAAAATTTATTTGAGTGAACAAATGGAATACAAGAATTTCCCGCTGTGTACGGTTTTAAGAAGATCCCACAACAAATTATGTCTATTACAACTCAAACAAGTGATCATAACATAATGTATAAACAATATTTCATGTAATAAGCAAAATGGCCAACCACACTGGCTTTCATCACTGATTGCATAATTTCATTTTTTTTTAAAAAAGCATTTTCATCTCAACATGCAGGAATGTACATAACATCAAAGGCTGATAAGAATTTGAGTATACAAGTTGTTGCAGATGCCTGTTTTGAGTACTTTTAAAAGAATAACCCTAACATTCCTTTAAATCTAAGCTCTCACTCCCCTCCCTTTGAGCACCACTGAGCACTGGGCTATATGCCCAGAAGAAGATTGCTGGGTTAATCAAAGCACTTCGACTCACTGTTGACCCCTTTATGTTTGGAAAGGGTAAGAGACACCTGACAGATAGAAATATATAAGACCTAGCAGCCGGACCAATCTATTACCTGATTACCTGAAGAATCACAGTAATATCTTTTCAGACATACCTATCCAATTTACTTTCTCTGATTCATATGCATATATCTAATGGTGTGTGCAAATGTTAAAATCCTTGTGTGACCAAAGAAGTCCTTGACTCCTGACACTTCTATCTACTTGTGCTTTAAAACTACTGTAACATACTTGTGGTAAGCTGTAACTGCCCACTAGGCCCTATATTCTGAAAAATGAGAAAAAGGCAATTTCAAGAAATTTGGACTGCAAAAATACTACACAATGGTATTATCATTTCAATACAAGTTTGGGGTCACAACATTGTGAGCGTACCAAAAAAATAATGTGAAACAGAATTAAATGTCGACCTTTCTGCAGTTTGGAGATACTGAATATACAAAAGGCAGCATTACAGAAGAAATGCAACAAATCACAAGTGGGTTATTTTTTCCCTTTTGTTCCACTGATTTCATGTAGGCCTGTTGAGAAGATTAGCCAAGATATCAAAAGAGAAAAGAAAATTGTCTTTTCTGGTTATAAAACCCTTGAGGAAATTGTTGTACAGTGAGTGTCGCATTCAACGAGGTTGCTGGGACCGGCTTGTTGTCCTCGTTGGATCTGACCTCTTGTTGAACGTGACTAAGGCTAAAGAAAAGAAAGGAGACAAGTTATTATATTACACGATGTACCAATACCAGTAATTAAAACAGTTGTTCCCCCTGATGACGAAAATCTCAAACAGCATAAGTGTGCGCGCGTTTTTTGAGCTGTGTTCTGACCGTCATTTCTGCATTTTTCAATATTTTTTTTCCGGAACACTTCTCGTGTGGAAACATACCCTCTCACATCTAGGCCTAGATCTACATAAAGTAAAGGTAGGAGCTTAGATTTTCTGATCAGGGGAAGAAAAGAAAATTGAAAAAAATGAAGGATTCCATCCTAGACCTAGATCTACCCATCCAGAGTTCATCCAGTTTCCCCAGCCCGCATTGTGTTCCCACCCACCCCCTCCCATCCCTACCATAGGCTAATCCTCGCCCATCCTCTTGGCTTTGGGGGCCATATTTAGGAGGCACACTAGATCTAGCAATACAATTTGTTAGGAATTGAGGATGGGCCTTGTGCTTCGCATGAGATGGAGAGAAAGAAAAATATTTCGCTTTTTGGGCCACTAATTGCTTTTATTTGGTTATCGCGACCTTGTTGAAAGCGACTTCGGTCTGCTTGCAACCTCGTTGGAGCTGAGGTACATTTACAAAGATATATGGAGGTAAAAATCGGGGATTAAGGATTGCCTCGTTGGCGCCGACTTCTTGTTGAATGTGACCTCGTTGAATGCGGCACTCACTGTATTGGTTTCCTTGGAATGTCCCCTGAAGAAAGTGACACCTGCTCTTATGGCATGTGAATATGAGGATGGTTGCAAGGTGCCACAAGTGGGTCCTTTCTTTCTTTCTCTGGTTTTTCTTTTGCTTTTTCTCTGCGCTTAATTATCATTACTGTCTCTGTGCTTGTCTTTATTCAACCAAACAAACATAATGAAAATGGTCTACATCCTAAGATAAGATGTTACTTTTGTCACAGAGTTCATGCTCAGATATATCAGGGCAAGATTTAGATTTAGGAAAGAGTACAGGTAGAGCACCACGCTAAACACTGAATAGACATGTATACTCCCAAGCAGTGAGCCTCATGGATAACGAATAAATAACATACAACAAGTATATTGTGCAATTTATGGTGGAACACAAAGCAAGTACACATAAAAATCTCAATATATTTTCATGCACGTACACAGCACAGCCTTGCGCTAAGCCCTCAGTCATTTTGTAGTACAAAAATACTTATAATGCCAGCATAATATATTGAGACACATAAAAGTCTGGAGAACAAATTGAGCAATTCGTTAGGATGAAACATTTTTGCTAAAGCCACATTTTAATTTTATGCTGGAGAAGTCGCTGCTGAAACTGAAAGAAATGAACCTGGGAGAGTTTTTATATATATGCCTTGAATTTCATTTTAATTTATGCTTTCAAATGAATTCTGACTTGTCATGAATTCGGTTTTAAGTCTGAATCAACCTTTTAGTTTTCTCCTGGCTATGATGTACATGGTATGGTACATCACGGAAATGTGAAAGTTTTGCTTTATGACAGACCATGACGTCACGAAAGTTGAAAGTTGGCAAAATTTACCGTTCCTGTTTGCCTAAGGACGTTAAATGTATGTCCCACTAATCATCTAGTTCTAATTCTTCACAAGCACAGTGTTAATTTTTATTCAGGAATTTTAAAATGTGCATTATTACTTTACTGCTTGGCTTGCAAACGATCAATAAAAACAGGTTTAGTCTCGCAGATGAAAGCGTTCTCTCGAAAAACTTAAACACCAAAATGAAAAAAGGCAGCAATTTTCACTGTTTAACTTATATTTTTGCAAATTGTTTGAAATATGGGGATATTGGAGAATACGCGGATCAGGAAGGTGATGAAAGTGACACTACTGGATCCAGGGTCCACCAAATATAATGTCAGGAACGGGGCCAGAAACAAACAGGGAGTCGGCTGACACGGAGACACATGAGACTGCTGCACTGGCAAACAAGCTTCACTGAAAATGAGTGTTGACATGAGGAATGCACACCCCTTGGCAACAGAGGAGTTAAGAATAAGATTGTAGCCTACTTTGAATTACAAGAGAAGTTCTTCATACGGGACACATTAATCAAACAGTAGCATTATGATTTGCTCTTTTACAGCTTCTATTCATAAATAAAAAGGCAATTCAGTGCTTGTTTTGTTTTGTTTTTCTTCTTAAGAATCTATGATTTTCCTTGATTAGTACTAATAAACAACATTTCCTTTTGGCAATCCATTCCAGCAAGATATATAGAATATAAATTACAGTCAAACCTCGGTATAACATACTCCCTTCAGCAGACCCAAGACTTTGAACATATTGGCCAAAAATAATGTCCGGGACAGGGGAGGTTTCTGAGTTCATGTAATATTTATTCACAATTGACAGTCTAAAAGTGTTCATTTGAACTATTGAAGGTTCTTTTTTAAAGTGTTTTTTGTTTTGTTTTGATGCTTTTCTTTATTTAAAATCCAAATGACATGGACAAACATGAATTATGAATTTATGAACGTGGAGGGGGCAGAGATGATGATAAAGTGAAAATAACAAATTTTAGACACACAAGAAAGATTTGGTTTAATAATTGAGATTAAATTTGGTTGAACTTTGAAATTCGCGACTACACATATGCAGGAGTGCGTGTGTGAGGGAAATGCAAGCGTCAACTGGCGGAAAAAGTACCTTATGGAAAGATTCTCCCTCTCACTGCAGCTGATAAAGTTGAATTCCTGAGTATGATAACTATTGTTGTTTGCAATTTTTCTCTTTTTTTCTCTCACAATCTAAAAAGTACATTGTTAATGCATTTTTGATCACTTCAACCCCTTGAAAAGTAAAGATTAAAGTGAATAGGTAAGTTTTATGTAGGTACATTTTAGACATCGCTTTCAGAGCGGAGTAAATGGGACTCGGGGTTTCAGAAAGTGAATTTCACAGTCAAGAGTAATTTTTAAGCCAAGCACGTTATACCGAGGTTTTACTTTAGTTTCAAATCGATAGACCATACAATGCCCTAAATTCCACACATCCATTGTGAATATGGAATCAAATATTTAGCACTTTAATTATTCTAAGACTATGACCAAAACAGCAACAAGTTCTTTTCAACAGCAGGAAAGGGTACTTAAAACTCATCTTCACAAGACCATACAAGAACAAGATCAACACTTATGTGATTGCCCGCATAACATATAAAGTACACATATTGCACTTGTGTTATACTTAAAAGTATTGCTTTTTTGATTTTCGTCATTTCTAACTTTCAAAGAACATGCAATAACAAGTTCGCTATGATTACCAGGCATTTCAGGTTGACAATACTGTAAAATATGAATTTGGCAAATGTAGATTGTCTTTCCAAAGAGCGTTTTAATCTCTAACACATCCTATTGTCTACAATGTATACTTCTTTCACACTCATCAGAATGTCAGACAATCTAAAGCAAACCCATTCTATCTCTGCTTTTTTCTTCCTTTGTGCATCACACAGAAAATAACATATATATATATATGGGAATAACAGTATAAAACGGAACAAATTGAACCAGCAGTAGCATAACAAAAGGAACAAGGCAAATATATTATCACAAGCACAAAAACTTTTCGAAATACATCCAAGCAACCTTCGCAAGGAAAATGAACAAAGGGATTTTCAACAAGAAAATGAACTTTGCCCTTACGTGAACACAACCAGGTCGCTTTCCATAAAAAAAGACACCCGTGATCTTGTTATAATTTACAAGCAGCTTTCATGTACAAAATCTAATCCGAAATATATATATATATGTATTATTTTAAGAAAAGTCACGTGGTGACTGGTAACATACTATGAGCTCTACTCTATACTGATGATTATAAATATAATGGTTGACTAGACAAAAACAGCATCTGACGACCAACGTAAAAGAACATGAGACAACTTACAAACCAAATCATGCTTCCTTTACCACCAAACCATATGAAAGCCATGATCATAATGATACACATATACAAGCTAGTAGCAAATTTTCTCAGGTTTTGCTTATTGCACTTCGTAACTGGGTTATTTTGCAGTAATCAGCTGCTGATGTCAGGTTAGCGTATTATCGTAACTTCTTCAGAATAATTTGGATCTCAAATGAAGTTCCTATACAAATGCTATATTTGTATCGGCCAGAAAATAACAATAAGGACGATTAGTCAATTAATCCCTGTTGTAAGCAATTAGTGCGATGATAGATATATAGGAATACCTTTTTTTTCAAAGTTTGAACCATAACAGACTCCCTACGACATAACCAATCCGTGAGTATACAAACAATAAGACATATGACTGGCAACTTAGCAACTTTTTTGCCCACTCACTCCTCCAAGAGTGACTGTTAACACTAACTTACACACCAAAATATTAACTGGACAAAACATTCATGTTTTCTCTAAAAATTGAGGTCATGTTGGTTCACACATTGCTTATGTTTCCAAAATTGAATTTCCCATGCAACTGGATTTTCACAGGTAAACCTTTTGACGGACTTGGACATCTCTACCCGTTCACTTATCAGGTTATGACCTTATCTTAAACCACAGACTACCGGTTCCAATTTGACAAACAGGCCTGTGAGCATCGAAACAGCATACAGTTGAACCAGCTCTCATGGTCACTTGACTTGTCCAAGACAATCACCTGTACAAAAGACCCCCCCCCCCCCCTTGCGTTTTGAAGACACCGTCCAAGACGTTCACCTGTCTAAAAGTAAAGACAACCACTTTTCTCCTCGACAAGGGGTGATGACCTTGGAGAGTTTTGACTATTTATTTATTTATCGGTTCTTCCTGATTTGATTTTGAACAGGCCACACTAAAATCTTTCCCTCTAACAGTCTAAAGTCATCATATTTTTAACATGGCTGTACTACCTATAACTGACATGCTCTGCCTATGGTACATCAAACAGAACACAGTAGCCATTGAATCAATAATGACAGCAACAATTTGGTTTGAAAACCATTAGCTAGTAATGGATGCCATTTACTATCAGACATTTTGCGCAACATTAAACATCTTTGAATGTGGTCCAGCTTCAAAGTTGCAAAGTGCAAAAAAAAAAAAGAAAAAACCCATCCAGCATCGTTTCAGCAAATAGTGCTGTCACTGATTTTTGCTCCGGACAATACACAAGGGAACTTCACAAAATTTTCATTTTCCAAGCTAATCATTATGAAAGGATAATGCCTTGGCACTGAGCATTATCACTGCACTTAAATACTTTTAAAAGACATTCATTTAATTGACCATTCAAAAATGGGAACAGCAGACAACAGACACAGTCATTAAATTTTGACAGGTGACAATTCTTTAGAAAAATGACTCGATAGAAATCAGCTTTGGCGATCAGTGATTCCAACTTCATGTACCGGTAACAGTAAGCACAAAATCTGAACAGTGGGAAAAGAACAATCAAATATTGTACTTTAGATTTTGAAACACTGGCCACCACACAGTAAAAATTAAGAATCCCATTTTTTGTACACAACAAGCTCCATGTCACCAAAATTAGCCCATTTTCTCACACAATGACCAATCATAGTTGGTTGCTTGACCTTTTGAAGATGTTCAAGTGACATCTGTGAACCAAATCCTAATTTATACCATCAAAAATAAATCTGGAAAAGTTCTTTGATTCTAAATCGACTCCTATGCACACACTATGCAAAATAGAGAGGTTAAAAGAAATTGTTAAAACCCATAAGTTTCTATAAATCCCAAGAACCATCAAAGTCAACCAGCTCTATCATCAAAACACATCAAGGTCCAGTGATCTTCTGTAGTCAACAAGAAGTAACAAAAGGCTACATGATACGAACACCTTTGAGGACAGAGGATAGTATCGTTATCTGAGAGTTCTCTACCACTATACTTGTTTCAGTTCTGCATCACATTCAAAGATTTTCCAAACAGAATCAACAAAGAAGCAGAAACTTTTAAAAATCCCGTGCTAACCAAACCTTCGTCCCCTGCATCTCGATCCATTTACAGCTTAACTATCACACAAACGACCATATCTAAACCTATATATTCCAAATCTTTTTGGAAATGCTCTTAAATTAATCACATCACAGTTGCACTTTTAAAGGTAAGACCACCATTATGTTGACCAACAGACAAGATGCTACAGTAAAACTATGGTCATCGTTTTCCCGCGCGCTTTCGTAGCTGAGACTCCTGTGCAGCGGCTGCCTGTTGTTGCTCTCGGACCTTCTCAGCACGTGTTGACCGGGAGTGCAGGTTACGGAACAACGCAGGGAACTTGTTCTCTGGGAACAGCGTGGCCAGCACGCCCTCCAGCACCACATAAAGGACCCTCTTGTTCAGATTCTTGTGTTGGAACATCTGGAAGATTCGGGCCACACCCTTGCGCACTGCATCTGTGCCCATCAGGGTCCGAACTTCATCTGGATTAGAAAAATTTCATAACATGATTAATCAAATGTACGAAGAAAAAAAAAGGACATTCGAAACCATTTAAGATGTCCACCCATTGTAGAGGAAAAAAGGCTGTCTTATACAGTGTCATTATGTTAAAAAATAGACAAGGGAGGAAATAGGTCATGCCATTTGTACAGTTGATTGTCTTATACATGTGGCCGTTACAGTAGGTTCAACTGTTACTGCAGTTAGTTAAAAACTGGGAAAAATATCTTAAGACTTTAAATTTTGTAACAAGAATCCATTACCCAAGTTGTAAATTGTAAAAGCACATCATGTATGGAGCAACTTCTCGCTGCAGTAGCATGCTTCTTTTTCAATCCAAATCCCCTGGTTGGATGCAAATAATACCCCATAGATCATACAGATTTTACTCTCATGTGATCCCTCCCACATACACACAATTTTTGCTGAGAATTCATTTGTAAAAGAAAGTATGGTTATTTGGAAACTAGGCCAGGGCAAGATCGACGGCAAAAAGACTCGAGGCCTCGATTCCAAAACTGAAAAAGAGTTGAGGAATCGACTCCGATTTTCGAGTTTGGAAGCTGCTTCAAGTGGGCTGTTTAGAGAGGCCATGACTTCAACACTGCTAAAAATAGCTCTTAAGATCGAGACCTCGAGTCTTGAACACTGCTAAAAATAGCTCTTAAGATCGAGACCTCGAGTCTGACAGACGTGGCTTGAGCCTGCGCGCGTGCCAAGGCAGGTTGGCTTTCACGCATTTGTGTGTGTGTGTGTGTGTGTGTGTGTGTGTGTGTGTGTGTGTGTGTGTGTGTGTGTGTGTGTTTGTGTGTGTGTGTGTCTTGCCAATTCGTGGGGCACAGGCTCCTTCTCTCTTGCACTAGGCCTATCAAGGCCTAGTGCACGCCGCACAGCGGATAAAATACCGTCCAGACCGCTCACTTAGTTTTCCTTCCCCGGTTCCTCCTCGACCATCCTCACCACCCTGCCCGCCCCGCCCGACAGCCCAGCGCGTAGTCATAAATCACTTGTCAGAGGGGTTAATTGGGGTGACCGCAGCGCCACTCCTCCTGTGCCGGGGCAGTAGTAAATATGGCGTTTTAGTGCGAATTGAAAGCCTCCTAACTCTGAAACTATAAATGCTACAAGGCCGATTGAGATTTCATTGTAACGTGCTATGTTTGACCTGTAGGCCGGTATAACTTGTTTTCTTGTAAGTCCGATTATTTCAGTTTTACAAGGGATTTAAGTAAGTCTGTGATTTTCAAACTGGCATCTTCAATGTTTAGAACTTTTTCAGTTTGGATTTAGATATTTCAATCCAATATTTTTGTCATGGAGTGCCACACTCAACGTGATCATATGGTGGGCATTGTGCTCAAACATCATCGCCTTCTAGAGGAGGCTGCACATGATATAGATGTACAGCTGGCCCATCAATCTATGGAGAATTGCACGCCTGGAATAGGACAAAATGTGCATATCTACGGCAAAAAATGAAAGAGGGCTGGAAAAAAACGAGGAGGACATTCAATTGTTACAGGGCTGTCAGATTTTGTCGGATAATCCACGAGAAGCAGAGAGATTTGAGAGGAAGGGTTCTAGTGTACATGATCAGCTGTCAGAGTTAGAGTTTGAGGAGCTTATTCCAAGGTCAAGTCCTGCCTGCTCTGAATTTGATAACATCCTCAAACAACACAACATCACACCACAGGCCTACCACAGCCGTTCATTTATAGGAAGCCACTGCCATAAATACATCACAGCCCATGTGTACAGACAGCTAGTATCATTTTTAGCTAAAGGAACAGTTGCATGTACACGAAATCAAAGCATAATAGACACCGCATCAATTGTTCTGAGAGAGAAATTTGTTCACGTAAAAGACACCTTCAAAGATATCCACACAGTAATTGCACATGGAAAGCCAATCACTTTAGAGAGAATACCACATATTCAGTCATGCATCACACGATATATGTCTTTATACAGAAACATATTTGGCAAATAAAAGGTCTTGAGTCGATAGTGCTGTAAAACACGTGCTACTCAATCAAAATCGATCAAAAGAAAAGGTCATCCCCAAACAACACATCCTTGAGAAACACTGCGTTCCTTGGATACAAAAATGTGGGTTTGGAATGGCCTTCCATTGTGAGCAAGGGGGTGATCTCATTCATGCAACCGTGGCCTAACAGACAAAGAAAAACACGTCAAAACAATCATGCAGTCACAACACGTCCAAACCCACCCTGAGCTACTCTGTCGTGTGCACCACCCATCAAAAGACGAAAGCTTACAGCGGAAAAATGAGATAATTCCTCCAGCCCAGCAATATTGTGTTCTTTTTGTATTTTGTGTTTAGGTTGTGTTTTCATAAGTGTATCGGCAAGAAAAGATCTGTCCTGTAGTTACATGTATCGTGGATATCGCTATGAAAAAACAAGGTCGCAAAGCAAGAGTATTGCAAAAATCAACTTCAAACCTGAATAATTACGGATCCAGAAACTTCGTGCATATGCCCCTTTGTCAGTACAAATTTCATTATGTTCTCAGTCCTGTGTGCAAATTTGATTGAATTCGTTGGGGGCAATCATATTTAAATCGATGTTTATAATTGATTACCCATGACACATTTATCAAATTAAGTCCCCTTTTTGAGAACTTCACAGCTTTTAAGTGTAAAGTACCATGTTCTTCCGATTTCTTCATTTTCTTCCTTAATATAATATGTTGAATATTTACGTGGTCTTTATTAAAATATTCATCTTACATTAGCTTTGGCTCACTGTGCTGGTAAACTTTGCAAAAAATACATGAGCCCTGCCGGTGTTCGGCTGATTACGGAAATCCCCGGCGGCACAGGTAAATGACCCCGTGACCTGGGGAAGCGCGGGCTTGCTTGCCTCGCGCCAGCCGAAACTAAATGGGCGCTCTATAACCGCTGTGGCCGAATTCAAATAGTGAAAAAAAAAACCTAAGTAAACAAAACTCAAAAAAATTAATTTAACTTGGTAATCGGGCCTTAAAATGGGTTCCCCGCGTAACTTTTGCAAATTTTGGGTCGCTGATCATGAAAATCTTATTATTTCTTAAATTTGGCCAATATTTAAGAAATTTTTGGAATGCATTTTTAACTCCGCCTAGGCCAACATCAAAGAAGCCGCCTTATGCGCCGGATGAGTCCCGTCCTGGTGCGGTGTCTGTTTTGAAGCAAAAAACTCGACTGTGGGGTGGGACAGCCCTAGGCCTAGGCCTATCCCATGACAGGACTGTAATAGTGAGGTAGAGATTTAGATTCTTGCCTCGATTCTCGGAGTCTAGGCTAGGAACCAGGCTTAAAAAAAGGAGACGGGAGGCGTCGACCCTGGGCGGACTCGAAGCTTAGAGTCTGGGAACATGGAACAAGATCTATTCTTTGAGTCCTCATTTCGAGTCGAAAGAATCGATCCCAGAGTCGATCTTGCCCTGGCCTATTGGAAACCAACTTAAAGAAATATTAATTAGAGATGTTGCTTCTTTATCAGGTCTCATGCAATTCTGTTATTGATTTTGCCACACACAGGCATTTTTGTTTGGGGGCGGGGGGTGTTGTCATAAGGGAAAAACTCATTTCAATAACCACAAAAAGTTTGCAGCCTGAATATTTAGGTGAATTATTGAAATAGTACCCCCCACTCACCCACCCCTCCAAAAGAAAACAAAAATCCAAGAATAAAGCAATGTTACCTGGAACACTGCCAAGCATCTTTGCTTTACACAGAACTCTTGTCCTCATTTTGGTTGCTTCCTCTCTCGGTGGCCTTGCTTCTGCTAGGACTCCATTTGGCCAAAAGGAATTTCTGAAATGAGCCAACTCAATGCCATGCATAACAGTGATCATATTGTTTCACTAAAAGAGCAACACATGCAAAAGAATTAATAAAATATTCTTAATCAAACTCTCAGATTGGAAAAATCAGCGACACTTGACCAAAAATCTTTTAACAATGGCTCATGTCATACTAAAACAGCCTCCAATCTTCACAACAAATAACAAACATCTCAACTATTTACCAGAAGCTGTGATTTTTAAAAAGATTTGTTCCATGAAAAAAGACAGTATTTGAGGTAGTTTTAGGAAAGTAGATCTACTCCCTTACATATGCAAAACTTCAAACTTTGACAAAGCTCCAAATTCTAAACAGCTAAGGTTTTTTCCTTAGCTGTTTAGAATTTGGAGCTTTGTCAAAGTTTGAACAGCCAAGATATACTTAGAATATACTGTGGCAAAACAAGGGCACTTTGAAAGAACATCATAAAGAAAATTCGAAAAGCATTATCAAAAGCAAAATACACAACACAATCTAATCAGGACATATTCATATCTCACCTGAAAGCTGCTACATATTCTGCCATCTGCTCAGAGGACGTCATAAAGTCTACATGTTCTACAATTTTCCTGTCAAAAACAAAAAGTTTCATTATCACTCATTAAGTCCCTACAACTGTATCTTGAAGAAATTTAGTTACATTCATACCTCTGCTTATGCTTGCCAACATTAACTAGATATCATGGTATATAATCAAGACTACAGTAAACCAACCCACTTACAGTGGGCAAATATGTAAGAAGTCTAAGCCTGCGTCAAGAACTAAAAGATACTAAATATGAAAGATTTCTTTCTGAGGCATTAAAAGATACTGACAGCGTGGGAACAACCAATGCTAAATCATTGCTTTTCTGGTATTACCAAATCATTGTAAAAATTCGCCGATTCATAAGAGCAGGGCGTGCTACCAATTTAGAGATTTATAAACCACAGAATTGGTATGATCTTTAAATGCCTCAGAAGTACTTCCTTTCTAAACTTGACATCCATCCTGCAGTTCAATTTGCATTTGCCGTTTCTGTCTTTATTCTGTCTACTTTTCAAATCATTTTTAGAGTTGATTCTTCATTTTTCTTGAGGATAGAAAGCTAAAGCGTTAGTGTGGCAACAAACATTTTCAGGAAAATGAAAAAACAGTTATTTTCTCAAATCCTACCAGTTCCTCTGATTAAGAAATTCACAAACAATGTAAAAAGTACAGTCGAACCAGCTCTAACGGCCACCTATATAAGATAAACACCAGTATAAAAGGCAACTTCCTATTTCCTCCATTGCGTACTTTTTCAGTTATAATGACACGGTATAAGAAGGCCACCTATCTAAGACAGTTATTTTTCTCCTCGACAATCTGTGGCCGACATATATAATTTAGACAGTATTATGACGTAAGAGAGAATGAGTTGTAAGTGATAGAAGGACAAAACAACAAAATAAATGTTGATCGGGGACACTCATAAAAATATAAATAAATTCTAACCTGTTGATTTTGTCTCCAAATGTGGCCTTAATGAGTTGTCTCAAAATGGCTACTATTCTTCGACGAAGCCACTGGTTCTTGTGGCGCAGGTCAAACACTTCGTCCATCAGCAGCAACATGATCCTCAGGGGGATATTCTCCACCAACTGCAATGAGAGATGGCCCATGGAAATCCACAGTGTTATTCATTCTGAGTTAGAGTTGAGAACAAGCACCATGAAAATGCAACACCCAAATCTAATACACATGATTCCATTTTATATGTATCATAAGATGCAAGAAAAGATCACAACTCATAATACATCAACATTAATAAGAATCAGATTAATTGCTCCTCTTTATAACATCAGTTGGATCAATGAAAAAAAGGAAAGCCAACCAAAGAAAATGAGCTTGCACATTTGCTAAAATAAAGAGTAGGGAGGGTGATATAGCACAGCCTGATAAGGCACCAGTCAATTGTTATTATAACCATGTTTTCTTTTTGCTTAACAAGCCTCTAAGGTCAACAAGCCTTGCGCAGTTTTCATTTCTAAAACAAAAATTCAGTGTATTTTGGAACACACACAAGTTCATCAGAACACAACTTTGGCTTTTAAAGTTTCCAGGTGTCGCGAATTCAACTTTTTTACTTTGTTTATATGGTGGGGATATGACAAACATTGATTAAAAACATCCTACTTTTTGTGTGAGCCAGAAACGTATTCTTTCATTTCTTAACTAATTTGACCAGAAATGTAACAAGTTGTGAAATTCTTCATTTAATAAGAAATCATGTAACCAGTTGTGAAAATTAATGACATCAAAAAGTCTCACCTCAGGGTCTAATCCTGCACCCACTTTGCCTTGATTTAACAGTTCTCTAGCTTTTGTCTGTTCCATCTGGAGTGCCAAAAAGTAACAACATATTTATAAGTACATATATATCGGTATTTATGTTCAACAGCAGGTCATAAACAAAACAAGCTCTGCAACAATCAAGCTCTGTTCTTTTTTTCACTCTTAAAACAATAAAACAGCAAATCTTAAAATATTCGCTGCATATAGTTCCAAACCACAGTGCCAAGTAAAGTCTGTAAAAACTGAACATTAATTACTGGATTCACTTTTTTTTAAAAACATGACAAAGTCACAAAACCACAAGAGTCACAAGATAACTACCAAACACTAAATTGTTTCTTATTAATGAAAACCTACACTTCTTTGGGATGCAAACACCTTGCCAAGACCATCTCCTATCTTGGATACACCATCTGGGACACTTTTGACAGCGTTGCCCACGTTCTTAGAAGCTGTTTTCAGTGGATTTACTATTGTGTCCATCTGTGACGAAAAAGATAAAGTTGATGGACGGAATCAAACATCTTTCATAACTTCACTGCATAAAACAGCAATGAATTCTTTCTTTCAATCTATGCAAATGAAAATTAATTGTATTACAAAACAAATATAAATCAAGCAAAACTAATTATGAACTGACAAACGATGAACCACAATTTTTAAAACTTCATATTCTGTTTCATTTCAGCACATATTTTCAACCAGGCCTCTTTGAGAAAGGATGCTTTAATGTATTGTTTCTCTTTTGCCCTTAAAAATCCCCAATTAATTCTCATTTCCTGTTTATTGAACTGATGAAGCACATTGACTGAGAGAAAAATGATAAGTGCTGGCCTCACAATGTGTACCTTTCTAGAAAACTCTGATTTGTGCTTTTCCCAGATTCCAGTGTGAAGGAACTGATTGAGCAAATCTTCGAGGCCTGCAACATTCTGGAGTAGCTCTGGCTTCATAAGGCTCTGAAAGAAAGGAAATGGGTCACTTCATTACAGCTACTGAGAGAGAAATTAAAACAGTGAGGTTCAATGCCCTACCCTACTAAAAACAAAAAAGTTGTGTCCAGTCAGTGCATTTTTTTCTTCACCAGAACACACAAGTGACATTGACAGTTAAAAACATAACAGGAAGGAAATTATAAAAGTTTCATTCAATTTGGACTTAACCTTAACCTCCAAAGGCTTATCAGGTTCTTCAAACCATGAACAATAATCAGACCCTAGTAAACTGCAAAATGATCAGCAATATTGTCAACATGCTGTGATAAGGGCCAAAGTCTTTGTACAAGCTATAACAAATCAATTAAAACAATAGAGAAAGTGTCAAGACAAACCTTACTTCACAGAGAAAACAATTTATTTACTTACCCTGAGGTATTTATCAAGGTCTTTCCTCCTTTTCTCGAGGAAACTTTGATTTGTCTTCTTAAGTACTGTTTTTCCAGGTAGTTGAGGAATGGTCAGTTCTGGGAACTGGGAGGTAGCAAATGTGAGACCATATTATGGACTTATTCCACGTTAAGTGGTAAAATTTATATTTTTCTCTGTAGAGGACACAGCTTTTGTTACTGTGCCAGTCAACGCGAATTAACAAAACAGTAAAAAAAATATTTTTAAAAGCCATGGTGGCCTATGGTTCACAGAAAATAAGGCATGACAAAGGCGCAAAGAGCACTCCAACAAAATTATCGATGGCAATAAACTAGGCACACCACCAGCATGGTTATTGTGCATTACAAAATGTATATTTGTATACTTCTGTAAGAAGTTATGAACAGGGAAGAGCTACAACAGAACTTACAGACCCACCAGAGACGCGATCACCAAAGTTTTGTTAGGAATTGCCAACACTATCAGATTCTGATCTTTCATCCCTTTTCAGTTTGCACTGTACCTCTGATTCCATATTTTAACTAGACAACATCCTGTCACCAGTCAATGTAGACCAGCTTTTCACTCCTGGCTGTCATTGACCCCACATGCCTTGACTTTCCCCACCAAGCCTAAACATCTGCATACATCAGTAACATGAATGAAGCTACATGAAAGGTCTTCTACTTTCATCAGACAGTAAAGTGTAAAATTGAAATACTGAAACAAGACTGCCCACTTACCTTTTCTGTTAAAATCATATGTAAATCATGGAAGTCACTATATCTCCTGTACACATCCCACATCTCTTCCTCCTCAGCATATGGTTCTTTTTTTCGCACAGTAACAGCAAACACTGCATAGCTTTTGCCACTCTTGTCTGGCTCCTTCACAATACCTGTCAAGGAAATGTTTGAACATTTTCAAATATTACACTCTATCAAAGTTTCTGTTTTTTTCGATAGTCAAAGTTTCTGCTGAATGATATTTTAATTAATGTAGGTGTTTTTATGCCCCCATTAACACAGTGCACAATTTACATCATTTAGGAGGCAGGCTCCAACCCCGCATGACTGGGCCTACCTGGGCTGAGAGGGACACAACATCCCAGCAGAAAGACAGAGATGCTCGATAAAAATGTTTCCCCACTCGGGAATCAAACTCAAGTCTCCTGCATGCAACATTGAAGCGCCTTACCACTACACCACAGAAGCCAGTCTACTGCATGAGACGTTGGAAACAGCTATAACCCCTGTTCAGCAAGGACTACAATGTAGCACTAACATCTTCAAAACCTGCCAGCAGCAAGAACATACCGGCCTTTGGTGACATCCCTTCAGGTGTTAAGTTGGCCAAACAAAGAGTCAAGCATTCCCAAAGCTGGACCAAAAGGAATGGGGAAGGTGCCCGTATGCTTGTAGCTGAAGTTTGTAATAACCTGTACATTCCTTCAAAAAGACGCCCAAATAGCAACATTCTAAAATTACCATGGCGAAAATCATTAGACTTTAATACCTTACAAAACTTTTAGCAGCCAAGTAATTTTCCCCATTATTTTATCATTTAATATGAGGGGGTATGTGAGTGTATGTTTGTATGTTGACCAGTATATATGTATTTGCCATACCACAGCAAATTTTCTTTGAGGAGATCAATAAAATCCAACTCTCTTCTCTTAACCTTTAAAAATTATCAAGCATAGTTTGTACCTGACTGAGTGATTTGAGCGTAGAGGTAGACATCCCCAGCCGGAGAGCCTGCGGAGGTGGCTGATGATGCGGAGCCCACAGAAATGGTGTCCGAAATAGACTCCTCGTTCTGCACATCCACCAGGTCCTCAGCCTGGGAAAACACAGACAACAAACCATGACGACACTCTTTAACTTTCCTAAAACAACAGAGTCAATTTCAACCCTTTCCTCAATTAAGGTTTTGGTACTGAACAATATAAGATACAAAGGAAAAGATTAGACTGGAGAAGACCTAAAATAACTCACAGGGACTATACAATCATGTCAATATTAAGAAAGACTTTAAAAAACTACTTCACAGGAATGTCTTATTTTTTTTCATTCTATCTTAACAAAAGCTACCATTTACTCAAAGAAAGGTCATACTTCTAAGAAGTGAATCAGGAACGGACTTCTCTGTTCAAGTCATTTTAGCAACAATATGTATGATTTAAAAATCTCACTTTCAGCAAAGCTAAAAGACAAAACCCACCTCATTTTTTTTTTTATAACTGAAGGATCAATTCAACACTATGGGGTTTTTTTTCATCCTGGTCATTATAAGGGAAAAAATATATAATAGTCATAACACGACCCTTTACATAATCGTTAGCAGTCCAAGGTATTTAAATGACAGGTTAACCTCTCTCTCTTTTCCTTTGTTTCGCTCTACATATATTGCCAAAATCTCCAGCCTTAATTAAGGCTCCTCATATCAATAATCCAGAGCTCATCTCCTTCAGAACAACGGTAGTTAGTTTTGTTCAAATAGGTGAGGCGGCCTGCAAGAGGAGAATATTTCTGCAAACAAAGTTCTGAGCTGTAGGCCAAAACATGAGAATGAGTCATCCCAGGTTAAGTTTGAATTATTTATACTGGGGCGCCCGGTGTTCCCCACCATCTTATGATTATTTCCTAAAACAAGGCCTCTAAATGTCTTACTTTTGATAAACTTCTGACCTACCCTTTTTTTTTTTTTGCTTTTTTCCAAACAAAATATGCAATTTTATCACAAATGATTGCAGCTCTTTATTCAGACTTCATTTTGGTCACCAAAACTAGAAAGTAAACTATGACATCGTTTGGCATTTTTATCTACTTTTTCATTCTTTATAAAGAGATTTGTGAATGTTTTTGTGCTATTCTATAGGTGCAACTCTAAAACTGGGCATTCTAGGGGCCAAAGTAAGAGCCAAACTGCATTTCTAAGACTATTTTGAAAATAAATGTGTGTTGAAACTTTTACCCCAGTTTTTCTCAGTTTGTGCTTCTTTAAAATTTCAGACTTCTTTTCACCCTAACGTTGCTTTGAGAACAGATATTTTCCAAATTTAAAGAGCAGAATACCCAGGACAGTCCTTGCAGTGAGATCGAATAAAAAGTCAAAATTTCCAGTTGGTGACTCATTCTCAATTCTTGCAGGTTGCCTCACACATCTCAAGTTATCCTTGAGACTGAAAGTAATAGGGAGATATTTTCCAGTAGCAGGGGACAAAAAAATAGCCAAGCACGATTTGACATTTTATGACAAGACAGGCACTCTTGTCCTCACTTACAAAGAAGTATCATTTTTTTAAATATGGTAATGTGTGAAAATGCAGAGCAGTACGGTACTGGGTCTAATACATGAGCTAAAAAAAAGGAGGGGAAAAAAATCTTTTGTCAGTGAAACTACAATAACATCCTTATGAATCAAGCATCTTTCAATTGTAACCAAGAATTTCCAGAACAAGAGCATTCCTCAAATCTAACTTTAGATGAAACAGTCGCAAGTCTATACCATGACAAAGTAGTTTACTTTGGAGGATGTTCTCTGATTGGAGACATAAATCTCTACTGTGACTGGCACAGAGTAAGAGTTATTCCTCTTATCCTGACCAATGTTAATACATATCACACACATGTTCACCTATGAAGACAGGGCTCATCATTCTTTGTTCCTCAAAAATTCCGAGACAAGTCATTATTGCGAGAGCAATGTTGAAATGTGTGTAAATAAACTCCCAAAATCCCCCCAACAAAAACAAAACAAAATTCTACAAGCATACACATGCCATGAGTGAACAATAGAATAAATGAAGGTATGAAATAGTGCGCCAAATTGAAAAGGTCTTTCAACTTTACACAAATGAAAATACTTGCTTGAGGTTACTTACTCAACAGACATATTCATACAGAGGTGTGTACAAGCCGTACCTTCTTTATTTTGCTTTTGATATCAAATAGTTTAATTTACTGGTTTTGTACAAAGTAGAATACAGTGACCTGAACGGACAAGCTCTCCAAAAGAAAAAGAAACTAGTAAGTTCCCCAAACTTTTAAATTTCAGAGAAAAAGTCCTACCAGACTATAAATAAAAATAGTAGGGGAGTCTGAAGCCATGCCTGCAGCAAATAACACGCTGTCGCAAGGAATAGGTAAGGAGTATGTTGTTACATGGTAAAAGATACACACAATTATTTAGGGGCAACCTGCAGAGTATGCCAAATACCACTGGCCTATTATCATTATTTCCATAATAGACAAGAGAAACAATAAGTCTAGTGATTAGATGTGAAAGACTCTAGTCACACAACATTTACAAAAGAAAAAGAAAAGAAGAAAGATACCACATTAAAGAAGTTTTGTTAAGAGCACAAATGTGCTCTATACAATAAAACAAGTTTAAAGAAGTCTGCATCTTGAGGCAAAAAAACCCAACCAATTACAAAGTCTTTCAGCAAGATCAAGAAGATTTCATAAAAAATCAGTAGGAGAAAATGTTACGAAAATGATCTACAAAGATATTCAATAAGAGAAATACCTTCAATTGCAACCTGGCTTGTACTATGCCATTATCATGAGGTAAATTGGCTAGCGAAGTTCACTCAAAAAAGGGGGAGGATGCAAAGATGGGGTACAAAAAAGTATAAGCCAAGTAAAGTTAACTCATGTCATATAACTGGGAAGCGTAACAAGGAAGCATTCGCATTCAGAAAAGCTAGGACAAAGGAGACTCTAAGCTTATCAATGGAACTGCTCTCTGTAGCTCATGAAGAGAGAGCAAATTCAGAGGAAAAACAAGTCTCAGAAACCATTTTGAAACTCACTGGCCAAATTCTTGACTACTTTTACTGGTCGGGAAAAGCTTGCAAGATATCATCAAGGAAAACAGGACATCACACATTGTTTCTACCAGTAGCGTATTAGAAAAAGGGTAGACTGACACAACTAACAAAAAAATGCTAGGAAAAGAAGATGATACACACATTATTACAGATAGAAAAGTCAAAAGATATAACGGTGGTTCCTCCTAATCAACAGCATCTTACTTGTGATAAGTCAAAGCCAACAATGGCACACCTAATCAAAGGATTTTTTTTTAATCTCTTAAAAAATTATACTGAAATGAAAATCATTTTAAATGAGACCTGCATCCTAAATTCTAATCTAAATAAACCCCCAGACTTTTATGTGCAAAAACCAAAAAAATTCACAGAAATCCCAATCCCGTGGCACTAGTAGGAATTTACAAAACCTTCTCACTACTACAATAAAAAAAAAAACCTTATCCAAAAAGAAAAAGAACTTAAATAAACTTCTGACATAAAACTTACTCACACCTACACAAAAAAAAAGATTAAACATACAGAACAAAAATGCTTAGAAAATGCATGCCTTTGCGGGGGAAAAAAATGGGTAAGGAGAGTTAAAAAATACAGAATATATGTCTCATACGGAATGACCAAAAGGACTGAAAATTTTGGTCGATGAAAAAATGTATGAAAATTATAATTGGCCATGCTAATGAAATAAATAATATATGAGCTAAAAAAAAAGTAAAACATTGCTAGCTTTATAACCTGTAAAAGAAATTTGTCTGTTGACAATTCAATACTACAAAGAAAACCATGCAAGAACCTCTGAGTTTTCCTAAAATCTACACATTTGGGGGCTGCCTGAACAACAAGCACTATTTATCCAATTTTGTTCTGTCATATATGTAGCAATAAATAAAGCATTTTAAAAATGGAAGCATGCTTCCGAACTGACAGAAAAATCCTATCTATGAAATAAGAGTCGGGGCCTGTTATAGCTCAATAAAAAAAAAGGTAAGGGCACAAATCTTTCAGACACAATTTCCAGCTCTGAACATGTTATTATAGTAGCTCAATCATGATCTGTGCATGATGAAATGCACCATGGTTAGCCTTAAACACAATTATAGTTAGTGTATATTAACATAGAAAGGACTGGTTGGTTTAGTAAAAAGCCGGAACAAAGAAACTGGATTATAAAAGAGAGAGAGAGAATAAAGAATAAATGTGTCATCATCATCTGTTTATTTTTTGATTCGTACAGAGAAAAAGGTGAGACCTAAAATGTTTTGTAATAATTCATCACCACAGCAAAGTGAGTGAGAGGCGTTAACACTCATCTTTTCACAAAAAAGATTAAGGTTAGAACTAAACAGGAATGTTGGAACTAGTCACCACTTGAAAGTAAAGTAATTTACACACAAGGTCATTATTGTCAGACCAATATAGAAATAAAAATAGTTAGGGCTCATATAAGCAGTTGATAAAAGATGTCTGAGCAAAGGTAGCTGAGTTTTTTTCCAGTGCTAACAATAAAAGCTATTCAAACTACACTAAGTTCCTTCGAGCTCAACCCAAGGATGCAAAACAAGAAGTGCAGCATTCCCTACACAGTTACAAAAGAAACGGGGAAAGAAGCATGCATTGGAGTCTGCGTGAGTGTGATTGTGCATGTGTGTGTGTGAGTGTGTGCGGTTCATTACTTCATATACCATGACTTCAAAATAGTCTGCTGCTTGACGAGTTGCAAAACTATGAATTAAGTGACCATGAAATTTGGCTTCTCCAGCAGGTCTCAGTGTTAAACTTCTACCAGTTCAGAAAATCAGAGGTTGTTAAAATATATTGAAAAAGAGGAGAGAAGCCTACAAAAGCAAAGGTCTTGCTTACAGGTTGAGGTGATACAGGCTGAGGCGATTCAGACTGCTCCTCCTGCCAGTCAACATGAGAAAATATTTAACCAATAAAAATACAAGTAGGACAAACTTTTACATTTCACGCAACCCCCAAAAATTATTTTCTTTGTACAAAATTCTCAAAATCTCTTTAAATAATGCAGACATAATGGTAACCCATTTGTTAAATTGGAAAGACTCAAATTTTGAATTTCATTTAAATTACACAATAAAATTTGTGTTTTGGTCAAATAAATTGTACATGAATAGATACTTCATTTCAATTACTGCATATGTCCCCAAATGAAACAATCTCTAATCTTTCAATGTGCAAGTTCAAGGACCAATTTAAAACTTAACTTTTATCTCAGCTTCTTCACCCCTCCCAAACACATTCAGCGACACAGCGTTTGATGAAATAATAAAAAACACGTTAAAAGGATGTTAAAACTACTTCGGCAGAACTGAAAGATTGGACATTACAAGATGAGAGGGCAGGTGGTAACTTACACTCCCTACGGAACATTCGGAGCCAGTCTGGGCACTTCCATCTACAGGTTAAAAAAGAAGAGAAATAGTACAATACAAGCAAACATGCAAAGAGAAAGCATTCTTAGTATGGTAATTTTCAAAAACTCAATACTCAATGCCATCAAACATTATTACTGCATAACCTCTAATAACATTTTAATATTTATATTGCCACAATAGAAGCAAAGAAAAGAAAAATGTACAGACCAGTGTTATATCAAGTTAGACTGTCTATCTACATCTAAATCTAGTAGGCTTGTTCAACTAACATAAAAACTTTCATGCCACTAAAAGCTAGCAATATCTCTCATTTCCCAGCCGAAATCCTCAAACAGTAACCGCAAGAACAAACAGGAGTCACACTATGTAAACCCATACCCTCTAACCTTATGCGTGAAAAAAGACCAAAAAAGGACTGGAGGATTCTTTTTCTTTTATTCGACGCAAGAAGTGAAATTAACTGATTAAGTAGTCAGATGCTGACACCTGTAAAATAGCCGACTGCAAAGAAATCTACTGACTTCCTATATGCATCAACAGCGAATGCTGAAGGAACAACCTTCAAGAGAACATTTTCTGACTTGATGTCAGGATCTGATATTCTTTTCCTTTTATCACAGCAGAGAGAAAGTACAGGCAGAAAAACTGCAAAAGAGAAGAAAAAAACATAGCAAGAAACTTTCAGAAGTGAGTGCTCTGTGCCCCTGAGGTTGTGCAAATGGTTTAGGTACTCACTGACCCACAATACAACGATTCATTCAGTGGTGAACATATACACATGCTTGGCTAGCTTAAGATGACAAAACTTAACCTCATCAGCAAAGGTGATGACCACTTAAATTACCCCCGCTCCCCCCAAAATATTTGATTTAAAAAATTGATGAAAACTTTCGTCTGCACATTTTATTCGGACCCTTTTTTGTCTTTATCTCCTGGCAATCATACAGTGCTTATTTCACTTAAGACTAAGAAGATTCCACAAACCATAAAATTAATGTAGGCCACGAATGTGACAAACAGGGATTGGTGTCATTTACTTTGACCTAAAATAATTTATTGGAATATTTCTGATGACACTTAGTCTCCTAATAAGTAATGTCCCTCTGATCACATAGTAGCATAGAGTCAATCCAGCAACAAGAGCAAGGACAGTTCGCTGCCACTTTGATTTCAGCATTAGCCATCAAATGGTTTTGTGCTCATAATTGAAGAGTACCACCCAGCATTTTAACACTTCAATCTTTGCTTCAACCTATCACTTTTGCATGACCCAATCATTTGTGAAGGCTCCCATACCTTTAGAATAAACAGTTTTAATATCTTTCGAAAGTGCAACTACAACAACATGAAGACCCACATACACACAGACACACTCACAAACATGCAGTCAGGCACACTTCACTTCATGCTAGCAGAGAAAGGACTTCTGAGCATTACAAGTGCACGTTCATCATACAAAAGTTAAAGCCCTAAAACTCTATTGCTACAGGCAAAACTTATTAAGCAAAAGTGTTATCTGACTCTCTCAAGACTGATGTTTGTCATGAATGTATCAGTCAAGAGTCTGCATGCCGTACAGAGTTAGTAGAATCAAATGATAACCTACTTTAAACCATATTATCCTGGCCACTGAAAGACAAACATGTGAACCTGATAATATACAAAACACCTATAAAAGACTAAACCGAACAAAAAATTCTTGAAAAAAAAATAAAGCATGAACATTCTCCTGTCAACTGCTCCTAAAAAATGTTTTGTGCTGGTTTAATTTACCATCTATCGCGATACAGATGTCTACTATTAGTCCCCAGATGTGGAGAGTGGGTGGGTGGGAGAGGGAAAATGTAAACTACAAATGCCAAAACATTAATAGTCCTTCTGATGACCAACATTTTTAATGGGGTAAACGACAGTCCCAAACCTGTTTTTACGCAGAGGGAAAATGTAAACTGATCCTTGTCATTAGTCTGTATAAACTAGTAGACTGTCAATAAGACACGGTGTCAGACCAGTCTCGCAGTCGACCATCAGTAGACCAAAAACATTGCAATGGACTCTCAACTAAACCAGCACCAAATTTTTAACACTGGACTAAGTCAAAAATGTTGAATAAACTGTTATTTCACAAATCTTACTTCCCACACCCAAAGTTTTAAAAATGTGGGAGCATTAAAAATGAAATACTAGGCATTATTGAATAAACTAAGGGGGTTCAGTGGCTGAACAAGTATCATGTTGGCCTGTCAACCCAGAGATCTGGGTTTTCATCCTTGCCAGGATCATATTTTTTTTTTGTGTGTCTTCTAAACTCCTAAATCCTAGAGTAGGTAGAATTGAACATCTAGTCTTCTCAGACAAGGGTGAAAGATTTCAAAAGTCCCTTGTGCAAGTTTTGCACATTAAAATCCCTTAATGGTTCAAAAGAGCTAAAAGAGTAAGCTACCCACCATCCAGACAAAATTAATTCCAACCCAAAACTGAAATCACAAGATATTCCCTTCATAGTGCTGTCTCGAAAATAGCAACTCATTAAAAAGAGGAAAATGCTAACAAGATGGAATAGAGGAGAACTTTATGTTTCCTTACCATCGTCTAGGCTGAAAGTGTCCCCATCCTCCGACTGCCCCCCTAGCAGCCCCAGCTCTCCCAGCAGACGAACATACGCCGGGCACTGCAGGAAATCTTCATAAAACTGACAGTGAAGGATCTGGTACACCTGGAGAGAAATGAGGAGTCTAAATGATACGACAATTTAAAAGTCAAAGTAAAAGAGTGGACTTTCACTTAACTTATAATAGAAACATGACTAATGTCAGCACCTACAACGTACACTTACAGGATGACAAAAAGTGCAACAGAATACCAAGAGACTTCAAGAAACTTTAGCAAGTTGCACTAAACAGTCATTATTTTTCCTAAGAAGGGCAAAACGACATGAAATTCTACGTCTTGCAACAATTCAATATGTTGATAACACTTATACTGATTTTTCAAAAACCATTATAGTCATACTACCATTCATTGTTCAGTGGCACTCACTCTTGCTTGGACGCTGTCGAAAACATCTTCAGACATCATTTTGCTTTTCAAGCGTTGCACTGTGTACTTGATGATGTGAGGTTCAATTTTAAGCTTCACAGAAGCCTGTTAAAAGATCAAGAGAGACTGGTGAGCCAAATGTGTATGGTAAAATGCACTATACAGGGAAACCAGAAATTCATAGTAAAAATGTGTGCATTGGTTTACAGCAACAACAAAGATAATCAATTTAACCCTTCAAGCCACAAGCGCGTATATTTTCAGCAGTGCTTGTACCTCCCACCATCCCAAGAGCGTATATTCTCAGTTTCGGGGGGTACCAAAGTAGCACATTTCTTAAAATTAAAGAACCTAATTAAACTTTAATTTTAATAATATTTGTTCATTTACCTTTAAACATTGTTGTATGTTATTATCTAAATCTCATTACAAAGGTATGACATCACTTTTATTAGAATGCATGCCTCTTTTTCTGAAATACTGCTGTATTGGCTGGGACAGGGGTTAGGAAGAGCACAAAAATGGCTGGGGCTGGAAGGGTTAAGAATTCATGAGCAAACGTGAAACACCCCCCCCCCCCCCCAAATCCCCCCCTGAAAAAGCAGTTCACTGTAGAAATATTTTCGCAATATAAAATAAGAAGCTGTTCAAACAAGATTGACAGACAAAAATATACAAAAAGCACAAGTATATATGTCCTCCAAACGAAACATTTACCATTATTTGTGTACAAAGCAAAGTATTTAAAATTTCAATAAACATTGCTTTTAACTATGAGCAAAGAGTCAGCTTTATCATGTTTACTCCTAACAGTGTAAAAGACAATATTTCTCTTTCAGCAATGAAAACATGTAGGCAACAAAATAAAACAAATATGAAAATCATTTTGTACAAAAATTCCTACCTTATCAGATAAATACTGATCATAAATAATAACAGCTAACTTCCTCAGGGACTCAAGATCTGGCTCCACAGCAGTCTCCGAGTCTTGAGTCTGTTTCTGCATTTCAGAAATTTGCTGCTCAGCAGCTGCACGGAAGCCCTGAAAGCCAAATGACACACAATCATCACAGCAGTCAACAAAGGCAATCACTAGCACAAAAAAACAAATTTTATATATCTCCTTCTTCTCCACCGCATCGCCCTTGAAGACCAATACCTGTCATATACTGGGCCATCCTGCTTAGTTCCTCTGCTGGCCCGTACAGCTTCTCCTGTAGTGGTATTGGGGTTGGTGACATTTCCTGTCTTTAGGCTCTGTGTATCCTGCATTGCTGGCGGATGTGCTCCACAGCTTGGTCTGCTTCTTCACACTGGCATCTGGTGATTGCCTTGTGCATTACGTTTTTAGTTTAATTCTTGGCGGGACAGCTCATGGTAGTTAACTGGTGTCTGCGGAGTTTGTTACAGCATTTTTATGAGGGGTTTTTTTTCTCCTGGATAGTTGATGATGTTGTCCGGTTGTTTTTTCAGCGCACCCAGCTTTTGCCATCCAGTTCACCTGATTGTTTCCCTAGATACTGCAGCTTGATCCTTAGGCATGGAATGTCCTCTATTGCTTCTCGCAGCCTTGAGTGGTTGTCGGCAGTGATTGCCTGCAGTGTTAACACGGCATCTGTCAGGAAAACTAATTGGTTTTGGGGATCCCTCACACCTGTTTGACACATGTATAAAAGCCTCCGCCTCTGCACTGTAGCTGGTACAATGACTTTCAAAATGACAACTACAACATAGAAATCAAGAAGCTTTCCACCATGAACTCCTCTCCTATTTACCTCAAATCCAAGCACCAACTTTGAGTTATCATACAGCCAGCAAATATAGGCATTTCCCCCCCCCCCCAAGCCTAAACTAAAGCCACGAGCGTTATTCTTGCCGGAAGGTCAAAATAAATGTGTGGATCACCAGTATCCAAGAAACAATAGGAACATAACTATTTGTGATGTCTTCTTTGAGACTGTGGCTCGTACCATAAAAGTGTTCTAGAAATCCAGCCCCCTGTGTAATAAGAAGTGCTAAAGCTAAATAGCTGACATTTTCTTTTGTAAATCATTAGCTAGCCAGACATTCAATTTCACAAAGTCCAGAGAACAGCATTAAAACACCCACTCAGCATAAAATGTGAAATATGCTCTATAAAGTCGTGTGCTGGCTGTATAAAACAAAATGATAAAAATATCTTACCTCTACATTCAAGTAGAAAAACAAATATTGTTCTCCACCTCTGCTCTTCAAATACTCTGAGGAGAAAAGGTAAGACAAGTGAACTTAGAAAATTATTAAAAGACATTTTGTTTACTTTCGAATGGACACATCCCAAACTGACTTGGTAAAAAACAGCAGGCAGTGAGCGACAGCGGGGGCTTAGTGGTTACATCACTAGAGAAATAGTTTTGAAGGGAGTAAAAGGTCAACTATAACAATTCATTCTCTGGACAAATTCCTGCAGCCAAAACAAGAGATTCAACATGCACAACAGGGTACCAAAGAACACAAATACATGTAACAGTTGAATATGCCCTTATGGAAAATTCAGCATACTCACATCAATATTCAATATTAAATTAGAGCATTATCTCAACTTGATCACCCTCTCTATATCGGCCTTATAGATCTTAATCTGCTACATAACTTTTGCCATTCACTAACTTTTCATGGTTCATAGAAAAAAATAATTACTTGTTGCAAAGATTGGCTTTCATTGACAACTGGTACCGGTACAGAAAAAACAGAAAGGATTCTGGAATAAAATTTCACTTTAAAAGATGAAGTCAGAGTCAAGAAAAAAGACAAAATTGAGTACAAGACAAGCTCATTAAAACAGATAATCTTTTGTCTTATTGAGGAATAACAAAGAAGATACACAAAAACAAAATCCAGCTCTCAACATAAGACAAGCCTTCACAATTTCAAAGGGCTCATAAGCATAGTGTGTAATACAAAAAACAAAAATACAACAAGATCAACCCCTTTTGTCTCTGTTTGCTGGAAATGTGTAAATATTCTCTTCCAAAGGTCATGGTTTAACTACAGTATGAAAAACAGAAAACCAGTCCAAACACTTACCAATAAAGCTTTGAAGAGCAATGTTGTTATTGAAGATGTCATCTAATGAGAGTACATACAAGCTTTGGTACTTCAAAAAATCAGGTTCCTGAAACACCAAAGTGTGGGAGGGGGAAAAAGAAGAAAAAAGTGTGTAGCCATATGGTTAACAAACTAAATACGCACACAGAAATCCCATCATAGCTTGAAAAACTATCAAAGCAACAAATAGAGCTACTTAGACAGCAGTGTTTTGCTTCACAAATGGGGTACCCGATGAAGAGGCCGAGTGCCCACCTCAGAACCTAGAAATTGGGTTTGAGGGCTTCACAGAAACATCTTGATGCAGAACTTTCAGCCTTTTCAGCAGTATTTTATGGGCTGAAAGGGAAATCACCCATAGAAATTACGACATTTTACTTCTACAGCAAAACAAAAATTAACTCAGTTTTCACTAAAATACACCAATAAGAGGGAAGTTTTGAAAAAAAAAATGCAGGTCTCGTGAACACAAACAAAAAAAATCTAGAATTTATGACCACATTATCCCACCACAGGAATAGATAAGTCAACCATAATATACCGACTGACAGAAACACTCACGTCAATAATCTGTTCTGTGACAGGTCCATCCTGCAATCGACGTATTCTTAAATCACAGGTATCACGCAGGAACATCAAGCTATTCAAATTTTGCTTGACAGTCGTGTCTGACGAGAGAATGACAACAGAATTGTTACATGCAATTCTAAATGAAAAGCTCACATGGTAGTGCATAAAGGCAGGCACAAAAAACATGCACGCACACATGCACGCACGCACTGACACACAAATGCATGCACACAAACAGGCACACATGCACAAACACACACAAGCACACAGACACCCACACACAGCGGCTAGCTTAAAGTGTTTTTGCTTATTTCAGACCACAGCAATTTGCTCGTTTAGATAAAGTAAACTGGAAGTATAACTTTGGGAATAGAAAAGATACATATTACCAAAATTTCTTTTCTAAAACCTTTATGAATGATACTTAGGGGTACACTTGTAAAAAATAAAGGTTTTATCAAATTTCCTCATCATTTTTTTTACCTTAAAAGAAAAAATAACACAGCCATATAATTGAGCTCAGCACAACCAAAACCTTTCCATTCCTCCACACTCAATTTCTAAAAGTATAACCGAAAAGTCATTAAATTTCAATGCTACAGGTGCTCTTACCGTCACTGCCCCCAGTGTCTTTGGAGCGCCACCTAGCAATGTCCGAGTCCACTTTGTCCCTTACTGCCAGCAGCTCCTCCATATGATCACTGGACCGTATCACAGTGAGGAAAGTCTCAGGGGTGAAAGACGTCTCATAGCACTGACAGAAAAATGAGAAATTGACAGGCTTTCCATTTTTCTGCATGGAGTAAATACCTGGTGACCTAAAGGGTTTTTAAAAATTTTAGTAAGAGTGTTACGGCACTTGCAACACAATAATGACCTAAAGGTTTACAGAGATAAAACGGATTTAAAACAATTTAAAACCTACTTACTGGAAAGATAGAAAGACAACACAAAAAATCATTGCTTTAAAAAAAAATAAACAGTTCCTCACCTCAGAACTATTTTGTACTTAAATAAAGAGTGACTTTCGACAAAATAGTTCTGAGGCGACATTTCGCTGAACTATTGAACCTCATTACCAGTCACTTTCTCAAATATTAGTATTACTATTCAGGACAATACTATTAGACAACTTCAGACACATTACTAAAATGCTGCCAACAACCAAGGAGAATGAACGCAAAAAAATTATAAATCAATTATTCAAAAAAAGACAAGTAAATGACAAGTACATAAGAGCACAATCAATTTCCAATGTTCTTGATTTACTTACCAACCATGCAATATACTGGTTAATATAATCTGGATCAGACAAAAGGTCAATAGTTGGTAGGAAAATTCCATTGACTAGAACCTCCTGGAAAACAAACAATAAAAGGTTGACATTTTAATCAAAAGGGCCTAAAATTATATCAGAGAAAAAAAACTGTCTATATTTCTCCCACAATGAAATGTCAGATTAGAGGTACAATTCATATATTCTTATCAAAGACAAGACACAAGAGGAAAAAGTCATGACTTTCATTCATCATTTCTAAACACTGCAGGCCTACAGTACATGTGATCGGGAAAAAAGACCTAAAATACCAAAACCAAATAAAGAGACCAGCACTATTTCAGTAGGAAGAGCTACTTAGAAATTCTGCATGGCCTGGACAGTTTTCTGACTCACCGATTCAATTGTAAACAAATGCCACCCTGCATGCAGAGTTCATCACTTACTCTAACTATGTATCGGAATGGCTTGTTGTGGAAATCTTCAGTCGGCAGTAACAAATACAACAACACTTCACTCAAATCTTGTAAATATTCTGAGGAAAGAAAAATATTTAATGTTATATTAATATTGAACATACATGTATCAGTAAAAGAAAGAGAAATGGATTAAATCTTTTTTTAAAAAGGAAAGGACAGTGTGTTCAAAGGGAAAAAAATCACAAAAAGAAATATTTACGAAGCACCACTGTCTTAACTGAAACAGACCAAAAAAAAAGAGACATAACTACTCTCCAACAACTACTGGTCATCCAAAAATCAGACATGACACACAAACCACAAAAAAGATGGTATACCTTTCACTTAAAGCTTCACGCTAAATCTGTTTCAATCTATTATTATCCCACTACATAACAGAAACTGAATTATTTTGTTTAGTCAACTTAAGTGTCACAACACTATGGCCTCAAATGTGTCACTGCTTACGTCGTTCTGCTTTGGGATCAAGGCACACTAAGTCTCTGCACATGCTGTTTTCCATCTCGACTTCCATGTCAAAGAAAGCACTTTCAAGGGCAGCTCCATTATCTGAAAAGAGGATAAAAATGCCACAGTCCTTTCGTAACCTCAAGAGAAAAACAACTCACATTAAAAATGAAATAAAAGAATCAAATATATTCACACACTTGAGAATACATTTGTGAGGCTTTAGCAGACAATAGCAAAAAAAAAGTTCATTCAACACTTATCAGTCTTTAAAATAAAAGAAAGAAAAGCACTAAATGTGTACAATTATCTTTCTATACGTACCAATACAAACACTGAAAATCAAAAGCACAGTAAAAAATTTGCAACACTTACATTTACAAACAAGGAATTAGAAAGGTCTAGATCAGTCAAAAACCGTCAAAGTTTTGAAATGCATGTGCAATTAGCACACTGTAACTAAATCTACTGAGATCCATCAGAAAGGATTCATTTCCTTCCTTTTCAGGATAAAAAGATACCTAAAAGCAAAAAAAGTTTTCGAATGTCTTAATAATTACGTCAGCAAGCAACCATCACCTTCATTTTTTGACTTTGCAGTTTTGTCCGCTGCTCGTCGGTACAATCTGATATGTGATGCAAAGTCATCCACTAAGCGTTGTGTGAAGTAAGGCATCCAGTCAATTTCTTTGGACCTGTGATATAATAAAACATTTCAAAAACTTGAATTATCTGTAACACTGACCACATAAATGTCTCACCAAAAGAACTTGTGCTATATATGTGTCACAAAGTGGTGACCCAGGCATTCGTCAATTTTGGGGCAAGTGAAGTTATTGGAATTTTTAAAAAGGCTTGTTCATCTGTCCTGCTTTCGATGAAAAAATACTCATCTATTATGAATAGAATTCGAGATATTTGCAATTGAAAGATGTAGGGGTTGCCTGGTTTCAGAGGTAAAATTGGTGAGAAAATGGCCGCCAAAGTTAAGGGACTTCAAAAGTTTGAGAGTCCCTGGAAACTGCAAAATTACATTTCTTGTGCCTTAATCAACGTTTTTGAGTAAAATCCCCACTGGGATGTGTTTTTGAATTAACATAAAAGGTGTTCAGCCCCAAAAAAAAATTCCATAAAAATTGTCAAACGAGCAGAAAAATGCTGATTTCTTAGAATTCATAATTTTGACAAATGCCATAAAAGTAGGTAACAATAAAGGCAGAACCAAGTACATGTAGCAAGAAAATAACTTTCAGACTTGTCAACAGATTTTGCATAAAGCTATTGGGTATATTCATGAACTATACAGTTACATCAAGGGTATCCAAACACATATCAAGAACAGATAGTACACTAAATACAAACCTGTTTGAAAAGCTGATTACGACTTTTTGTGCACATTGCCAAATGTCTACAAGGAAATTGTCATGGTCACTGATCTGCCTGTACCAAGTCTTTATATAGTCGCGCACCGTGTACTCCAGAACCTGAAACATTTTCATACAACATTTATCTACCTCATTCCTTAAATCACACCAAAACAGACCAAACAAAGGGTAATATTATCGTTCATGAATCTGCAAGAGGAAATCAGTCTCAAAATTTGTTTCATCTTGCATCAAATATTGGTGAAAATTGAAGCTGGATAAAAACCTAAAGTCAATGACAAGTTAGTTGTTTCAAGATTAAAATTATGAAAATTCTGTTAGTCTGTGTTTTTCAGCAAAGATAATTTACAGAAACAATAAAGAGAAGTGAACATAAGTAATAATGAAACAGGAGTCTCTGGTACCATTAACTATATTATAACGTAAATATTGAAGAACCAGCCTGAATTGTCCACAAAAAAAGGATGGAAATAATTTAGCAATTACCATACCTCCTTCAAAACATCATCGATCACGCTTGCACCTGTCATTCTTTTATCAAAGTTTTTTATTTTTGTAGTGGGTTCCATCGACTCTTTTATCTGCAGGTGGAAAAAAAAAAAAAGAAGAAGAATGATGTACGTATTTATACTTTTCAGTAACCTTGAGAGAACAATAAAACAGCACAAAATGTTCCAAATACGATCTGGGTAACGCCACGTCAAAAAAAATCTGGAAGAAAAAAATGATCCCATATAATCAATTGAAATTTCCCTCCTGTCAGGAAATAAACTACAAAACTATCTCTTTTTGTTACCAGGTCATGAATACAGTGCGACTCTTATGGTTTCCTTCCCTTAAATGCAGTTTTTGGGACACCTGAATAGACATATAAGGGTCTTGAACATCTAGCTCTCACTGGAAAAATTAAGGGCAAGCGAGGCAGGGGTAGACCCAGAACAACATACTTAGGGAACCTAAACAAATGGGTTACTGGGAAAGATCAGGGAAACGTAGCTTTTTTGAGAGCATCTGAGCAAAGGAATGAATGGAAAACCATGATCGCCGATGTCTGTCACAGATCTGGCACTGGATGATGATGATGATGAAATCTATGTAAACAAAATCAAGGGTAACACACGCAATACACAAGTAAAAGATGAGCCACTAGTAAAACAATGTCTGACATTTTATTAAATTATCTTTGTGAAATCAGCATGTTTGCCCTCAATGCATCTCTACAACCATGGATGCAATAACCTACCTTTTCAAGACCTTTACTGACATGACATCTTCCACTAACATCATCATGCTTTTCTTCATTAGCCATTGCTTGTTTTCCGAAATGAAACACAATGACAAGACATCTGAAAAGGACATTTAAAGAAATGAAGTCAGGAAATAAAACATACAAAGTCTAAAATATCATTGAGGGCAACAGATACACAAATGTTTTAAATATGATCTTGGTAATGCCATGTAAAAAAATTGACCAGTAGCATTCAAATAGAAACACGAGTGCTAAAAATCTTTGATGTGGTTGGTCGATAGCAACTGCTGCATGAACTGCCACCGAGTAGGTCTTTTCCGGAAAATGGAACCATATCAGAAACGAGTAAGAACTATGTTTTTCGATTTGTTTAGCGTTATTTTAATTTTTAAAATATTAATTCATTGATTAATATAGATGGAAAGTATATTTCGTTGAAATATTGAATGTTTTATGGAAAACAGTTAAATAAATTGCTATGAAAAAGATTTTTTTAAAAGAGGAACAGGAGGGTGTTACCTACTCCTCAGGGGATTTTACTTGTTAAGGTAGATTCAGAACACTCATTGGTATGAAATATTTGGCTACTAACCACTTTACATAGCATGTGACATGTCAGCTAACAAGTGTACTACAAATAAAAACGTGATTTTTCTCAAAACTTCATTTTTCAGGTGTTGTTCAACAGTTGGTACATCACTATTTTACTATTTCTGGAGAAAAAGTCTTCAAATTTAGCATGGGGCTAGCTTCTCCGTTTCTACAAACAGGGATAGACTCACAATTTTTGTACCTTACTTTCTTTTTACACCTTGATATTTAGGAGTGGGCGGGTGTATTTTCTAATAAAAATATAAGGTTCACTTTGATGGCTTTGAAAAGTACCCAAAAAAAGATAAATTAGACAATCAAAGGTTTTCTCTATGTACAACTGTGTCACTAGAAGATATTTCAAGTGGAAAAATGACCAAAGAGTGAAAGTTATAGAAATGGTGATGTACCAAAAATGTACTTTTTTTTTTCAAGATGGCCACCATCTCCATGGTAATGAATAGGTCTGACTAAACAATACATGGTTGAATCGAAATATTGGTAATAGTAGTTTTTTAAGAAAAGGATGGATTTTTTTTTTTTTATGTTAAAAAAATGTTGAGCTAGGCATGAAAAACATGAAGATGAGCACACATCACAGAAAAATCTATCTAACATAACATTTATAAATATCTCCTTTTTTAACAATCTCTTGAGATCAGAAGAAAAAAAAATATTTCAAAGCCTCCAGTTAAAGAGAAATACATTTCAAGCTTGAACAACAATGTCATCTTCACAACACATTTCTGACTTACCCTGCACAAAAAGCAACAAAATACAGACTCAGGAAAACAGCCAGTCCTCCGAATGTGATAAAGAAAAGGCAAGAGCCAAGGATGACCCACAGCCATCCATTCCCAACGACCTCCATCTAGAAAACAAAAATAGTTATAAATAACAAAATATTTTATAGAAAAAAAATGACGTAATACAAACATCACAATCAACATAACAGTAAATAAAGAAAGCACACAAAAAAACTGTCTTCACAGAGGAAGCCATGCCACTTTCATATCATCTTAATGCTCTATATGTCACATACAAAGCAGTGTGACTTACTTTAAAGAATGTCTTTCATTAGATGTACTCAAAATGATACAACGGAGTCGTTAAATAATTCTCCTAGGGTAGGATTCCAATGTAAATTGGGAGATCGTTTCAGATGAAGGTTTGGAATATCGGGCTCTTTCTAGAGTCAAAATCCTTTTCTACTGTCAATCTGCTGCTGTCAAAAGAAGTGTACGACAAATCATTTCGAGTCTACAAATATACAAGAGAATGATGCTGTCGGGAATAAAAACAAACAACATCATGCTACAAATGTTTTTTTCAGAGTGTCAATAAATAATTTAGAAAAAAATTTAAACAGAGAACAGTAATGGTTCACAACTTTAAACAATGTTCTCCCCTATAAAACACAAGGACTGTTCAAATCAATCCACCCGAGAATGAGCACTTGGTCATTGATACTCCACTCTCAAATCCCCACAGAGACAACTCTGTCATTACCAGTTCACCCTGACATTTAAAACATAACTGACATCAGATTTTCTTAGTTTTCACTGCAATTCGCAAACTTTTTATATATTTATACCACAACCTCCAATTGGTTCCTTGTAATTTGAATGACAAATATGCAAAAAATACTGTCAACTGATCTTCACCTCTTGTTCCAAGACAATAGCTCTAAATCTATAGACATGGATCAACTACAAGATTTTCAGTGTAAAAGGCTAGTCAAATGAAGATGAAGAGAGCGATTATCATATTATCATGATTACAAGATGATAAGTTGATACTAATTCTTATAAAATCATTTACGGTAATAGCAAGGAGAGTGACTCTGAAACTAAAAATTCCAAAGTTATTTACAACAGCGTTGATAGAAAGCAGGGAGAAGATATCAGCTTCAACTTACACGTCTACTGGACCTAATAGGCCTACAGAGAAAGGCATTTCAGTAAATTACAAATGATATAATAAAAATACAGCACATTCTTTAAATATTGTTTTTCAGGCGTATATTCTGTGAGTTTGAAGAACTTATTTACCTGGCTTTCACTTTCTTTCTGTTCAAATAATACTTTATTTAAGAGCAAGGCACCTGGTCGGAGACACTACAGTGTAATTTTATCAGTCAAGAAATAAGTGGGTGATCTGCTAAAGTAAATTAAATAAAAAGTTAAAACTTGAAGTTTTGCTCCCGGCAAGATTTAACAAAGGATCAAACTGACCTAGATTAACCATTACAAATTTCTGTAAATTTTACTGTAATGACTCCCATGAGCAGATGTATTGCTTTCAGGGGCTAAACATGCGCACTTTTTTTTACCAAACACACACTACATACAGACAGTATGATACAGTGACTAAAACAGTCACATAGGCTTTCAAGAAAATCTCACATCTAATTGCAAAAAAATAAATTTTAAATTATAGGAAAAAACAGGGTGGGGGATGGATGCCTCCCTGAAAACCTCTCCCCATTCTTTTTTTAACCTTGAAGGAACTATCCCAGAGCCCAGATTTTTTTAGGTAAACTATGTGCGAAATATTAAGTAATTAAGTTCAATGCAATAAGGCCTAAAGTTCTAATAAAAACATGAACTATTTTAAAAAGTAATAATTTGCAATGGATAAATATGTTTAAAAGTAAAAGGGGCAAAAATGAACAAGGAAGTGCTAACATATATATATAACTGTAGGGTCATCATCAATGCCTTTCACCCCTGTGACCGAAAGCAAGACAAACAGAGACGTGTGTGTGTGTGTGTGTGTGTGTGTGTGTGTGTGTGTGTGTGTGTGTGTGTGTGTGTGTGTGTGTGTGTGTGTGTGTGTGTGTGTGTGTGTGTGTGTGTGTGAGAGAGAGAGAGGGCATAATAAATTAAATAAGAAACCAATACTGTTGAAAATCCGCCCCCCTGCCGAAGTTGCATACAGCCCCTGTCACACACAGACCCTGTCGAATTTGCCCCATGTGGGGGGTCGAATTTGCACTAACCCCTCTTAAAGTTACCCCAAGTGAGGGTATGCAACAAAATCACGATTGGTTGAAAATTTAGAATGAGAGTAAAGAACATTCTAATAATTAATCAAGAAGTACATCTAGAATGGCTGCTTTACACTTCTAGAGATCTAGACCAAGATACTCTGTGTTCTTTCATAAAGGTGGGAGCAGTAGTATCGGAACTTTTACAGCGCTACACGAACCTGTCCCTACATAAACAGTTATCATAACATATACTGTCCATGCCATACACCCACCAATGACGGTGCTTAGCATTGAGACATGAGACATGAGTCGAGTGTGTGAATAAATAGACAGCAGGACCCAAAAACTTAGCCAAATGAAATGACTAGATCTAGATCTAGGACTAGGCCAGGCAATAATAAAACTAACACTACGGCAGTCACACAGTTACATGATCAGTGGTCATAAGTCGTACAACGAGATCTATATATATACATATATGTCTACTTAGTGAGTCTAGTAGTTGGTGCTTTTTCAGTAGTTCCCACCCCCCAATTATTATGGCCACCTCTATTCTCACCGCGGGTGAGAATAGCGCAGGCGAGTCTTTTGGCTATTCTCACCCGGGGGGCGTTCACCGTTATAGACTAGGCCAACCAGTGAAGCGTTCACCCTGAACCACAGAATTCTACACTGTGATAACAGAATTGTAGAACTCTGTGCCGTGAACAAACGTTCTAGATCTATTACTACTGTTAGTGTTAGTCTAAAAGCGTGCAATTTTGTCTGTGGGCAGTGGAGAGAGAGAAAGAGAGAGAGAGAGAGGAGTAGCGCGAGAACTTCCAGGCAAAACAAAATGGCGACCCGCGTAGTTCGGCTCGATTCGGAAAGTTAAATAGCCGTAGCATCTTTGTAGTTGTAGACGACCAAATTAATTTAGTTTTGTTTTTTAACATCATTTTTTAACTTTGTTTTGGTCAATTTGATCGTCCGCACCGATAGACAGTATTCAGAAAGAGACAGAGAGAGAGAGACGGAGGGGAGGAGTAGATCTTGCGAAAACTTCCAGGCAAAACAAAATGGCGACCCGCGTAGTTCTGCTCGATTCCAAAAGTGAAATAGCCATAGCATCTTTGAAGATGATCAAATTAGCTTACTTTTGTGCTATAATGTAATTTTTCTTGGCTTTTATCAATTTGATCATCCACACCGATAGACAGTGTTCCGAAATGAGGAAAAAAGGTCTTGTTTCACACCGGGTGAGAATACCCTACGCTGGCAAGTCTCATCCGGGGTGAGAGGTAGATCCTATTTTTATTCTCACCCCGGGTGAGGATAGCCACTTCCAATTATTATTCAATTCGCCGGGTTTGGCCAAAAGAGTAGGGGGGTTTTACGGGGGCTTGCCCCCCCCCCCTGACCTAATAAAAATATGGTGGGGCGGGGGCTAATGCCGCAGTGTTGCGGTCCCGTTCCCGGAAGTCGACTCGAAAAAAAAGCTGACTGAGTTGCCAGGGTGAAAGAGACCCATTTTTGACAATTTTTCGGCATTATTTTAATGTTTTTTAGAGTGCCGAGAACAATTTTGCCTCTAAAAACTGTCATTAATCATTATTTTATCAAATTTAGCAGGGGAAAGACTCCCATGCACCACCACCCCCCCTCCCCTTTTGCGGGGAACCCCTCTCCCCCCCCCCTTTTTTTGCACGATCCGTTTTTGTTTTTAAAATTGTGTTTTGGCTATTTTAATGTGCAGTTTGGCATTGAATGCATTGAAAATCTTGGCCAGTATCGTCACCTCGAAGCGTGGTTTTACTGTACCCAACTGACAACAAAGGACCGCGGGACCGCAACACTGCGGGCATGCCCCCCACCCCCACCCACCCCTGAATTTGGTGCTTTTTCGGTAGTTCCCACCCCCCTTGAGCCTGACCTACATCTAGAACTAGATCTATACGTTTGATTCGCGGTGAGCTAAGATATCAAACCTAACAACTGCAAAACATTAAATTATGGTAAAATTCAGGGGGGCATGCCCCCCTGAAACCCCCCCTCCTACTCTTGTGGCCCAAACCCGTGAATAAAATTGCGGGGTAGGAACTACCGAAAAAGCGCCCTGAATTTTACTGTTTTGCAGTTGTTAGGTCAGGTTTGATATCTCTCGCTCGCTGCGCATCAAACATATAGATCTAGATCTAGATCTGGATCTAAGCCCAATAAGGGGGGTTGGAAATTCCGAAAAAGCGCCTAGAATCTAGTAGTTAGTAGAGGTCTAGTAGTGTAGAATAATATAATGTTATCTTTTAGTAACGTGTGGTCTGTTGTGTCGTGTGGAGTGTGGTAGACCAGCCAGTTGTCCAAATCTACAGCCTTCACATTATCAATCTGAAAGCAAAATCAACTACTTGAATTGAACTACCTTGTGCCCTTGTGTCCCGGTAACAATTGGCCACAGCACCTCTTCCTAGGCAGTAACAGAAAAGATATGTCCAGCCATGATCATATCAGCACACCAACTTGTCTGTTGTTTACAGAGCTGGACAGTCAACAGCCGCCATGTTTGCTGACAATTTATGTTAGATCATCGGTGTTCAATCAAATCCCGTCTCACATAAGAGCACGGCTGTTACAAGTATTTTCATTGGCTAGCTTTATATCAGGGGGCTCTACTCTAATCTAAAGTGGAATCATACCTGCGATGAACTAGCCTTCTGGCCTGTGGATAGGCCAGACAAAAGTGGGCGTCGCCGAAGCGGAAATTTGTTTGTTTTTAAGAACAATCCGTTTTTATTATGTTGCGTTCATTTACTGGCTGGCTTACATAAAGTAGGCCCAGGCAGAACGATCTGCAAAGATACAATGCCATTTCTGAGGATTTCTTGAATGAATGGGTTGAGAGTTGAGAATGATAATGATAAACCAGACAGAAATTATGTCGCAGATAAATTAGGGCCTATATTGTTTATTATTATACCTTATATTGAGTTTAGGTTGTACAGGAGGACTTAAAATTCGACCGCCTTCGAGTTCAAAAGAATCGCTAATGATATTGCCCTTGAGACCATGTATTTAAGCGGTACACTATCAGATGTCAGAAAAGATCTAGATCTAGTAACTGTTGATCTTATAACGTTCTTTGAAAGCACGACCTGTCTCTCAGATTTTATCTACTGCTTGACTGACCAATCTTATGTCTCATTGTGTTTAGTCATCATAATAATTATATGAGGCTTATCTTAAAATTAGCCCTTGTGACCTGTTAATCTATCTGTTGGTCGAATAGCCTGTCCGTAAATCATGCGTTTATTATCGCCTTTCTTTCACTTTTCTTGTGGAATAAATGATTTTGGCATATATA